TGACGCTCTTTCGAACGCCGCCTTCTGCGTATCGCTACGTGGCCCAGGAGCCGAGTTACAAGGGGGAGTGTTCAAACACCCCCCCCCCCCAGCAGGGCGTGGAAATCCAGGACCCCCAGCCGGGCGCGGGTTAAAAAGTGCTGACGTGAATACCAAACTATACTTACGAAAGAAAATTACGAAAGCCTCGCAGGGACACATTGGGCCTGTCAGGTGCACCATGTGCCAGCAGGGGGCACTTAACCCACGCCCCGTTGGGCTCTGCCGAGTAACGCGCCCCGTTGGGGGGGGGGGGCATTTTGCCCCCCCCCCCCTAAGATCTCGAGAACCACGCAACCTAGCGACAAGCGGCAAACGGTGTTGGATAGCCCTATCAGGGAACTACCTGGTGGCCCAATTTTATTGACCTAGGTCAAACCGATGACGTCACAGGTCAGGTCAAAGGTCGAATTTTCACCGTTTACAGGCATTTCAAGAAATGCGTTGTAAAATCGGGTAAAATGCATTTCATTGAAAATAATCGATGGGGAAATGTTCTTCAAACACATATTTTGCTATTTGACTTCACTGATACCAGGTCAGGTCACAGAGGTCAGGTCACTGGGGGGTCACAATATGAAAGTGTAGTGTGATACATGTGTTATTGTCCATTTTACATGACAAGTGCGATTTTGTGGGTCAGGCAGCCTTTGGGGCCAGCTTAGGTCACGTTTTGGTCAAGGTCAGGTCAAGGTCAGGTCAAGGTCAGGTCAAATTATTCAAAGTTGATATTTTTGCATAAAATGGGTATCGATTCGATGCAGCTCGTCACGGGGAGTTCAATGGTGGTCTTTGTTTTGCCCTACGTGGTCTAGAATCGCTAAAAAAATTGAGTTCAAAAATTTGATATCATCATTTTTGAACAGTTTTTTTTCGCTATAACTTGGCCAAAAAACGAGATATCGATCTGAAATGTGGTATGTATATAGAAGAGCACAGGTACTATCACACATATTCCGGTTTTTCGAAATTCGGAAAATTTGTTGGATTTTTTTGAGTTTTTCTTAAAAAAATCAATTTTTTGATTTTTTGGGGTGAAAAACCCAAACTTGAAAATCCGAGATAGCAGTTTTGTAGCGCCGCTTTTTGTCTACTAGACCATGTAAAGAACTTTGAAATTGCTTAGTAACTAAGCAATTTCAATTTAGAACGTAGATTTGGTGAACGTTTCAAGATTGCATGTTTTTTGCTCATTTTTGCTCGAACATGACCTCAGTTTGACCTCAATTACTCCTGACCTAAGGTGACCTAAGACTTGAAATTCGGTGTGAAGGTGTCAAATTGATGCCGGGAAGGAACTGAAAATTTGGCGGCGCTGCGCGCCGCCGATTTCTTGCTATTCAGGAAAAACCACAGGGGGGCCAAATTGCCCCCCCCCCCCAACGGGGCGAGGGTTAACCCTCGCCCGCACATGCCATTTTCCCATCCTAGAACGCACATGGGGGGGGGTGGTTGCCACCCCCCCCCCCGCGCCATTTCGTTCCTGTTGGAGATAGAGCTTAGCAGTAAAGACCAAAAAGATTCTTTGGGAAGAGACAAATCCAATGATACCCAGTTTTACCTTCTCAGGTCAGTCATTGACCTTCCAGGTCAGGTCAAACTAAAAAATGTTGCTGTTTTGGGTCACTGTTGGATATCAAGTGCGCTGCTTATCAAATACCGATGACGATGCTGTTTTCTGGTGCCAAGCCAGCTAGAACCTCTTTGTCACACTATCCGACCAGAATTTTGCTGCTGAGGTCATTTCAGGTCAAGTTAGGTCAAGGTCAATTATATGTGTTTGTATGTCTGTGTGTGTCTGTGTGTATACCTACTGATGTGTGCACCGATTGTTTTTGGGTCCATATCACATGAAATCATGATCTGAGAAGCTTTTACCAAAAATGCAGTCAAAAAACTTCACAAAAAGTAAATTCAGCTTGCCTAAAACGCAATTATCTTAGATGACCTAGGTTGACCTTGACCCTGACCTTGACCCCTGTACATCGTCGAACAACATGTTCCATGATAGGTGGGAGGTAAGACTGGCAAAAAAGGCCGAAATCAGGGTGTCAAAAGCTCACAAGGCCCATGGCAAACGCAAGATGTTGAGAATTGGCCATTTGGGTCATGACATGACCTGAAAAACAAGGTCATATCTCCGAAACCAAAAATCACAGAAACTTGAAATTTTCAGTGGACATCAAGAAAGGATAGACGAGCAGCTATACGAAAAATCAGCCTTCTAGCTCTAAAAATGTTGAGTGCAGAGCAGAAAGACTGCCTGGGGGGGGGGGGTGGCAACCACCCCCCCCCCCATGTGCGGGCGAGGGTTAAGGCTTGTCACGGGCACCACAGTCCTGTCAGAGCCCAACTGCAACAGAGGCCTAGAAGGGGCACCACAGGCCTGCCAGGGGCACCACCACAGGCCTGTAACAGAGGCACCATCGGCCTCGCAAGGGCACAATGGGCCTGTCAGGGACACCACCAGCCTCTCGTTGGCACTTCAAGCTCGTCAGGAACACTACAGGCCTGCCAGGACCCATGTGCAAAAAAAAAAACTGAAAATAGGGCAACACCTAAATGAAGTGGTCGAAACCAAAATTCGAGATCCGTTGAGTTTTTTATTTTGGGTATAGGTAGGGACACCATTTCGATTCATGGCCCTCCCTCGAAGTTTTCTTGGATCCGCCCCTGTACATGCGTGCATGTGCACCTGGGGGCTTTGGGGTGCCCCTTTGGGGCTGCAGAAGCATTATTAGGGATGCAAAAATGATATACACATCCACACCCATGTGCTAGAGCTTCAAAGAAAGGAACAGGACAGCTGAGTCCTTTCTGTCAATACGGAAATTTAAGCATCAGCTATTAGCCATCTAAGCTCTGAAATAACATCAATTGCAATGGTCGAGCTTACGACGCCACTAACTACGCGAACGTAGAAACCCGCGCCCCGTAGGGGGGGCCGAAACGGCCCCCTGTCCTTTTCGGTCGATATCTCCTAAACGGCTAGAGATATCGCCACCAAACTTTCAGGACCCCTCCGGGCATCAATTCTACACATTGTGACCAAAAATTTTTTCCAGATGCTATGATAGGTTGGCCACAAATGACGTCAGAATGACGTCATGTTCTGTCATTTTAGACCGAAAAAAGACCTTCGCGAGAAGACCTGTCAGGCCTACAGATTTGAAGATACAGAAAAATGATCACGACATAAAAGGTGTAGAATTGACAGGGCTACAAAACTACTATCTCGAGTTTTTGAAATTTTTGAGTTTTGACCCCTAAAAATCAAAAAATCATTTTTATTTATTAGCCAAAAAATCCAAAACGTTTTTCGAGTTTCTAAAAAACCGGAATGTATGTAATAGTACCTACCGTCTTCTATCTACATACCAAATTTCAGATCGATACCTCGTTTTTTGGCCAAGTTAGAGCGAAAAAACTGTTCAAAAATGATGACGTCAAATTTTCAAACCCAATTTTTGGCAATTCTAGACCTTGTAGAGCAAAACAGAGACCACCATTAGACTCCCCGTTACGAGCTGCATCGAATCGATACCCATTTTATGCAAAAATATCAATTTTGAAATTTGACCTAATTTGACCTGACCTTGACCTGACCTTCACCAAAACGTGACCTAGGCTGGCCCCAAAGGCTGCCTAACCCACATAATCGCATTTGTCATGTAAAATGGACCATAAAACATGTATCACACGACACTTTCATATTGTGACCCCGGTGACCTGACCTCGCTGTGACCTGACCTGGTATCAGTGACTTCAGATAGCAAAGTATGTGTTTGACGAACAATGCGCCATCAATGGTTTTCAATAAATTACCAATTTACTCGATTTCACAACACATTTCTTGAAATGCCTGTGAACGGTGAAAATCTGACCTTTGACCTGGCCTGTGACGTCATCGGTTTGACCTAGGTCAATGAAATTGGGTCACAAGGTAGTTCCCGGGTGGGGCTATCGAATGCCGTTTGAATTTTGAAAATCGGCTGGTAAATTTCCGAGATCTTAGGGGGGGGGGGCCGAAACGGCCCCCCTCCCCTACGGGTGGTAGGGTCCGCCGATAGCCCTACGGGGCGCGGGTTAATAAGCTTTGTATGTGCTGCAGTTTGGCTGCACCATGTGAATGCCATATTTTTGGCTGTACGATCTTTATCTCATACGATCATTTGGCGTACGATCATTTACGTCGACGATCTTTTGCGAATACGATCGTTCGTCCATACGAACATTATACTGTACGATCTTTATCCCATACGATCTTTGGCATACGATCATTTTCCTTGACGATTTTTTGCGAATACGATCTTTTGTCCATACGAGCATTATGTTCATACGATCTTTATCCATTACGACTTTTTGGCCTACGATCATTTTCCTTGACGATCTTTAGCGAATACGATCTTTTGTCCATACGAGCATTATGTCGTACGATCTTTATCCATTACGATCTTTTGCATACGATCAACTTCCTACGATCTTCTGCCATACGATCTTCTGCTTTACGCTCTTTTGTCCGGTTACCCCTACTCCCTAGGTTGATCTCTATTAGGTATGGTGTGCCCCCCCCCCCCCCCCCCCCAGGGCCCAGTCTGAAAGAAGTTCGTGAAATGTGAATCCAGCCCTCGATCCAGCTGTATTGTATTCAGGGCCTTGGATCCAGCCAACGCAGCCAGCCCGAGAGAGCCGGTGCAGACTGCAGTGGAGCCGATGGGTGAGGCTTGGGTGAGGCAACGGTGAGGAGCTAAACCGCGGCCCGCCTGTAGATGTCCGCTAGTCTTTTGTATAGATGTCGCTAGCTCTCGAATGTAAATCATTTTTCTCTCCGTGATTTTTCTACTTATGTGTTTTTGTTCAGAACTGGTAATTTTTACATTTTATTTTCTTAAACTCTCAGTAAGAACTGAAAATACGTTTGAATTGATTAAAGTAGTCCAAAAAGGTATAATTAATCATTTATATTATGTTTCATAAAGCAATGTTTTGCGGTGAAATACTGGAGATGTATGCATATATTGAGACTAATTGTATTATTGTTTTATCACATGGAGCTTTATCATTCCGTGCTTATCATTCTTATTGACAATATTTTTCCATCTGTCTCACTACTAAGCTCTGTGTAGTGAGTAACATTTCCGCCCTTTTGCTACGAAACGCGCCATCCAGGGTGGGTGAATATTCCGGGTGTATTGGGTATTGAAATGGCATCGATCGTTATTATGCCATGTACTTCTTCTGCTAGTATTCTCGGGGCTTCGTCAGACCCTTTTTGGTGTTGTGTGTGCTGTCTATCGCTGTTGTTAAAGATATTATGTCAGTTAGTCATTGCGTCACATTTGTATCTCGCACACGCGGGTTAATTTTCGTAGCATTTTCCCGGTTCACTCCATTGATTTTGTCGATTCTGCAGGGAAATTATTTGTCTTTCAAAGCTTCCTACCCTTATTGGATTGTGAATGTTTTTGTTAGGTTGATGAATTATGCTTATGGGAGTGCCAATGCCATTCATTAAGCTTCAGCTTTGCTCATGTCAATAAGTGGTTTGTTTGTTATTGTCAGACTGATAAATTGCCACCTGTTCTCTACAGCTCATCACATAAATAATGCCTGAGCTCACTGAATCCACCGAGGCTAAGACTGCGGTCAAGGTCGAGGTTGAGTCTGGAAGTGAGTCGGATTCTGATGATTCCGTGCCAGAGCTTGAGGATGGAATTAATGAGAGTGCAAGCAAGGTGAGCTATCTTAAGAGCCTGTTGGTTTATTTTCCATGCAGTGAATTCTGTATGCTCTAAGTGTTAAGTCTAATTGCTTATTCACTGAGGCATCTATTACTTATCACGGAGGTTAACGACCTGTTACCTGTCTTTGTCAAGGTTGCACAGGCAGCTGGCCTTCCTGATGAGCTGACTTCTCGAGCCAAACAGTCTAGGGGAGAGAAGAAAGCGAGGAAGAGCATCTCAAAGCTGGGACTCAAGCTGGTAAGTGTCTTTCAGCATGGGAGCGATTAAATTGTAACATGATTTCATTTACAGAATATGATATTCGTTGCGATTTTGTAAGAAACTAACAAGTGGTCTACTACCAAGCAGCTGTGAGAGAAGCATTGAAATTTAGTGGAAAATTTGTTTTGCTGTGTAGTGTGCTATTGAGGCTGCATTGGATGTTAAACACAGCAGTTGTTATAGTAGCAGTTGTTTAACTCCACCCTGGGGGGGGGGGGCACAGTGGGTTGTGGTGGTGTATGTATGAATGCATGCATGGCGCATCATTGTGGTCTCCAAAACATGCAGTTGCCTGGCTCTTACCACTACAGAGTCAGAGCAAGATATTACATGGCCTATTTATAGCACAAACATACTGGTGAATAGGGCACCAGCCCGGCTCACTGGATAACACACCATGCATGTTATTATTTAATATTGTACACTATACAGCACTTCACCCATAGCTGATGTGGCATTAGCAATAGTTGGTTTATTCATTGTTGTGCCAGGTATGATTCAGCAAGCCACACATACACACTGCACACACGACTATGTGGGTATTATGGTGATGTCATAGCAGATGCTGTTTAGTGTATGTGTATTGTGGTGCAGACACTACCAGCTGTGTAGATTCAGGAGCATTGTCTTTTCTGGATACTATGTATTTGTTGCTGCATGCAAAAGTTGTCAAACCACTTTCAAATGAAATACTTGTAGGATATGCTAGACCATTGAGCAAAATGTTAGGTATCTTCTTGTTCTAAAGTTCATTTTTTGTTTGTGGGCCACAGGGTTATAGAAAATAATTTTTGCATAATGTAGCATCTCATATTGACACATCTGACTAGGTCGAGACATACCTGTGGACAAGTCTTCAGTAAATTAATTGGGAGTGTTTGTATTTAAAAAGAGCACATAATCCAGTTTTGCCCCTACTACATTGTCAGGCGGCTGTCTGCGCCGATCCCTGATGTTGCCTGATAGCTCAGAGCTCAGCCCGCCAGGAGCCTGGGGCATCTGACTTGAGATGGGCTCTGCCAGCAGCAGCAGGGTCTGACTAGGGCTGCAGCTTTTTCGGTGCTGGATCATATTGTGCACTGACCTTTCAATATTATAATCCACGCACGGCACGCCGTATATCACGACCGGTGAAAATGGAACTAGGAATGTTGATGGCGACTTTCCGCGCCGGTAATATTTCGGCAACTAGGCTCTGGCTAGAACTGCCGGCACTTGCACAATCTGTCTTTGACTCCATAGCCCTGAGTCAGAGCCACAGACAGGTCAATGCCCTACCCTCCACCCTGCTGACCCCAGCTGACAGTCCCCCCCCCCCCACCCCCACCCACGGGTGACCCCAGTTAAATGCACCCCATCCCATCCCGCCCCGCCCCCTGGTGACCCCACTGACAGCCCCCCCCCTCCCCCAGGTGACCGGCGTACAGCGCGTCACGATCCGACGCTCCAAGAACATCATGTTTGTCATCAACAAGCCGGAGGTGTTCAAGTCGCCGGCGTCGGACACGTACATCGTGTTCGGCGAGGCCAAGATCGAGGACCTGGGCCAGCAGGCGCAGGTGGCGGCCGCCGAGAAGTTCAAGACGCCGGAGGTGAACCCGACGGCGGAGGCGCCGGCGGCCGGCGCGGCCGTGCCCGACGCCATCCAGGAGGAGTCGGACGAGGAGGGCGTCGACGAGACGGGCGTCGAGGAGAAGGACATCGAGCTGGTGATGCAGCAGGCCAACGTGGCGCGCAACAAGGCCATCAAGGCGCTCAAGACCAACAACAACGACATAGTCAACGCCATCATGGTGAGTGGGCGCCGGCGGCCAGTGCTGCCATATCGCATACCATGGGGAGCTCACGCCAGGCGGCTCCTGCTGGGGGGGGGGGGGGGCAGGGGTTGCAGCGGTGGCCGTGGCGACGGTGCTGCCATCTGCCACTGCCACTGGCAGCCTGCCAATATTCATATTGTCTGATCGTGGTGTTACAGTCATTAAACGCATCTTTTAATGCTATAATTGGATTTGATAGCATGCAAGTTTTGGGGGTTGCCTATTTCGGCGTTTTTGATGGACCTGAAGCCGCCATTGCTGGCTGTGTGTGTGGGGGGGAAGGGTGCAGTGCAGATACCATGAGAAGCGCGTACTGACCGTCCTCCCCCGCGTCTGTTTCAGGAATTAACAATGTAGCACCGTCGCTGGGCCGCCAGCAGCAGGCTCCGACCGAGCGAGGAAGTGCAGTGGTGTGTCATCTGAGATGCCGTGGCTTGTATCGACCTTCATCATTAATCCCCGCCTTCTCGCTCTCTGCCTTTCACTCTTATTTGGACGGCGTTATCAGCTGAAGGCGTTTATTTGTGGACTTGCTGTGCCCGCCTGGGAGCGCGCCGGTCCGTCGGTGGACCGCGCGCTCTGGCCGTGGATCCGCTCGTGCCCGGCCAGGGTGCGCGGCGCAGCTCAGCGGTACATACGGCTGTCGCCGCAGCCTGCTGTTGCCCCCTGCTTCGCTCGCTCGGCGGAGAGGTGCTGGCGGCCGGACCTGTCCTGGCGATGGTGCACCCCCCCCCCCCCCCCCAATAATGCTGGATCGCGTTTTGTATGGTATGTCTCCGAGTCGCCTTGACGAACATCAGTCGTAATACATGTGTTTCGAAGGGCACTCGTCACCCTGTGCAGTTGTGTTTGGGGCAGCAGCTCTGGGCAGGGTTGTATGAGCGCCCGTGCAGGGCGGGGCTCGGGTGTGGCGGGCGCCGGTGCCGGTCTCTGGGAGCGGTCTGGCGGAGGACGGGGGTGGTCACTGGTCGGCGGTGCGGCGCTGATAGGGACATCCCTGCCGCGCGCGCGCTGTGCGGCGGACGGGTCCGTCCCGTGTGACATCAGCGGCGCGCGGGATGCAGTGCAAGAAACCCCCCCGCGGACGGCAGGCGACTTCCAGGAAAATCGGATCCCCGACGCCAGTTGCGTATTGCAGCTGCCGGCGAAAAACTGGTCTGCTGCTGTTACAGGGAGAGCGCCGTCAGATCTGGGGATCCGTACTGTCTGGTCTGAGTGGACCAGGGCGGGGACTGCAGACGGCAGTAGTTTAATTAGTTGCGGACACGGGGATGCGGTGGGACGCCCTACCATTGGTCTCCGGCCGCCCCTCCGTGCCGGTGGTCGGTCAGCCTCCCCGCACTGGCTGACTACTCAGGGTCTGTCAGCCTCCCCGCACGGACTGACTACTCGGGGTCTGTCAGCCTCCCCGCACGGACTGACTACTCGGGGTCTGTCAGCCTCTCGCACTGGCTGACTACTCGGGGTCTGTCAGCCTCCCCGCACGGACTGACTACTCAGGGTCTGTCAGCCTCTCGCACGGACTGACTACTCGGGGTCTGTCAGCCTCTCGCACTGGCTGACTACTCAGGGTCTGTTTACGTGTGAGCTGTGTTCGGGTCAGGTGTTCATAGTTGTCTGACCTCAAATTAAGTGCACGTGGAACAGTAAATACGGCTTAGGTGCTGGGTGCGGGTAAATCGTTTGCTAGTAAATTTGTTTTGCATAGTCAAAAGCCAATGCGTGTCTACTTGATTTTAGATATTCATTGCGATTTCATGACTTGGGCACCTAATCGGTGAGACATGGAGCCGAAGTTGTTCGTTCGGAACTTCGGATGTTTTACTGTGTGTTACTTTTAATGTATAACAAAATACAAAGGAGAAAAGGTTCCGACACTCAGCAATCAGCGCTTTGTATGTTACCATACTAAATGTTTGGGGTGCAAAATAAAGTAGGCCCTTGCAAAATAAGGTTTAAATTATCGACTTTGACACACCCAGCGACCCGAAATGATATCGGTTCGGATTATGATGCCGGTCGGAGCTTGTATTTACTTTGGAAATACGGAGAAGTAAAGAAAATTGCATCAATTAGCATGCAATTGATCATCTTAATTGCCCTAACGTTAAAATATTATCATGGAAATAAGCCCGGTTTTCAAGGTTCTCAAAAAGCTGCAGCTCCAATATGAGTTTACTTATTGAAAGAGGTATACTGCAGGTTGATTTGTCCGCCGTTTTTTACTTTTACATAAATGAAGTTTGTGCAATTTTTTTTGTTTAGCATAGCATAGCATTCATCCCAAAAAAACATCTTCACAAATCATTTTCTGTGACGATAGCTACACTTCTAAAATGTGGTAGTTGTCGCTCTCATATCAACATCGTTGGTCCGCCATGTTGCACTTTTTGTGGATGTCGTGGGTGCATCGTGATGTCCTTTTTTGTGACGCGTAAAAACTGCACCACGTTTTGCAGATTGGTGCTGTCTGAACGCTGCGAAAGTTCAAGAAGATATTATGGATCATTTGTGTGAGACCTTAGCCTCGGGACGTGTATATATCGGTCGATGAGGTGGTGTTATGCGTCGTAGGCGTTTGCGATTCTGATGGGACAGACCCATGAATCGGACTAAACGGCCTGTGCCCTTCCTGATCTGAGGACGAGTGTGTAAAATATCTTAGATGTTATTTTAGTGCAGAGTGTTAAGTATTTAGGTGTTTTACGAAGACTTTACTGGTGCTTTTGTGAGCCACTGATCGTGGTAACAAGAATGGATTTCCCTTGGACGAAGATGAATCTGATTCACCAGCATTACTCATTAGTAATGCTTCTCATGTATTTAAATCTAGGTAAGTAAGCTCATCTTGCTTTGCTAATTGCTTCATTATGTGCATGTCTTCATACATTTCAATTAGATAATGGAAGTTTTCATGCATGTCAGTCGGGCGCACTGTGGTATCTCCGATTCATTTATGGAGACGTTTCTATTATTGGAAACGTTTCCAATTTTGACTACTCTTCTGTTCCAAAAATGGAAACGCTCGTTCCATAAATAGAAACGCTAACATCTCCGCACATATTTTCTTGCCAAGGGTGGCTGGATTTGATGTATAACAACTGTTTTGCGTAAAACAAGCTCAGATACACCAAAAGCACTTGTCTTCTTGCATGGAAAGCTGTCGTATGCATTCAAATTCACGTCTTTAAAATGCTCCTGAATCGTATCCATTTATGGAGACTTAGTTTCCAAAAATGGAAACGCCGATGTTCCAAAAATAGAAACGCTGAAGTTCAAATGTGTGCAAACTTAGCTTAAATGTGTTTTTAAAATTCACATGCAACTAAAAATTTGATGTTTTGGGACTGGTTTAGCATCTCGGCTCTCGGCAGTTACCTTGGACGTCGGGTTCGATAATAATACATTACGCGCCGCAACTTGAGCACATTCAAAAGTCAACTAAAACTAAGATTTCCCAGAAACTACTGGACAGATGTGGTCCAAAGTGGGCAATAAATAAAGCGTAGATATCATTTCAATATATAAAATTAATATCAATGTTACACATGAGCTAAAATGAATAAATTCATCGTCAGAATACAACGGTATTTGGTATGACGACGGTGCAAACCTTATTTCCATCCTGCTTTTTACGTATTTGCACGGAGATTTACGTTGATCCGAGCCTACTGTCATATTCAGCACATTTGAAATATTATAAAATGCCCACCTAAGTCTCCAAATAGGGCTTTGCAACAACTTTCATGCGATTTAATCAAAGATTGACGACCGCCAGGCCGCTGGTACACCGGAAAACGCAGCGTGAAAATGAATGAAAAACTGAAGTTACTGGTGATGTGGTTGTTCCAATCAATGGGTCAGTCTTTCAGTAGTCTGTTAAAAAACGTTATTTTTTGTTCAAAACATTCATAAATGCTATTATTTTCGATTAGAAAAACGTGTGAATTTTGTATCGCGTAAACATGTTATAAGCATCGCCTCGTTCGTCAACTTTCGGTTTTCTGATCGGAAAGTCGGAGAACAGGAACATAAACTAGAATGCTGGCTGTCGATTGGTGGCATCCTGCGCATGCCAAATTGCACCAATCAATGCCCAGTTTGCTTTAAAGGTAGCGATGCACACAGCGTCTCCATTTATGGAACAGACCGTTTCTATTTTTGGAAACGGCGTATCCATTTTTGGAACATTGTTCCAAAAATGGAAACGTTTCCATAAATGGATCGGAAATACCACAGTGTGCCCGACTGATGTGATAGCTGATTCCATTGTAAATGTTTTGATTTTCATTATTAACTGAATATTTATGCTGTGAATTCCTTACTTTATCAATGAAATTTATCTGAATATTTAGTATGAAACATTCTCCCTTGCTTTATAAGTTGTTTAGGATGCAAGTACCTTTTCTTATAAATCATATGAACCATATGATTCTTAGCAATAGGTTTGTGACACCTTATATACTGATGCAGTGTGTTGTGTGAGGACTGAGGAGGATATGATGGTCTGCAAGGAGTATAGTTAATAAGGCAGTAATTGATAGTATGTCAATGAGTTGCAAATAATTGAACTATCTGCCATTATAGCTAAGCTTGAAATATGCCTGCAACATTATCAAAAGTAGTGACAAATGGACACTGGGCTAGTTGGACTATATCAGATGCTCACACCAAAACAAATCACTGCAAAAGGGGGATGAACTGCAATGGCTCTGCAGATCATACAAGCACAAGTTAGATGCTGCTTTCAGTTCCATCCAGTAAGCATGTGTAAGTAAATGCTCCAAGGCTGCCTTAATTTAACCCGCGCCGTGCTGGGGGGGGGCGTTTTTACGCCCCCCCCTCAGGTTTTTCGCGAATATCTCAAAAACGGCGGCGCGCAGCGCCGCCGTTTTTGGTACACGTGTTCCTACATCATTTCCGCACATGTTGTGAAAATTTCAGACCTAGGCCGTTCAAGGTCAGGTCACCAGGTCACGTCAAGTGACCTTACCTCAGAAAAAGTTCAAAGGCTCGCTATAGCTACACCGACTGAACGATCACTTTGAAACTTTCAACGATTGATATGAGTAACAGTATGTATAAAATGTATATCTCGGATTTTTGATATCTGTGACCTAAGGTCAGGTCAATTTTGCGACCTCTCCATTATAAGTCAATGGGAGAAAATTGAAATGCGCCTCTTTTGGACGAATATCGTTCAAAACGCTCTCAAACATCGGTTCATAGGTAAACATGACACACTGAATAGGAAAAATGCACCTGTGACCCCTCTGTGTGCCCCTGAGGTCATCTCAGGTCATGAACGGTCGCCAGCAGTTTTTTGGCTATAACTTTTGATAGAGACGTGCTAGAGCGGTGAAAACACGTCAGATGTGTTCAGCTCGACGATACGGATCGACTGATATGCAACATGACCCTTTTCGGTCAGGTCATGACCTTGACCTGAGGTCAAATTTTCAAAATGACCTTTCAAGGTCAACAAATAGTTCATTCGACGCGTCTCGACGAGAGGAACACGATGTTGGCAAAAGTAATGTCATGGCGCTTATGAGTCAAAAGTTATTGACGAAAAAACGTTTTTCGTAAAAACGGCTATTTTTGGAGTTTTTGCCCTCTGGAGGCTAAACCGTTGACCTGAGGTCAAATCTGAGAACATTACTCAGAAAGGTCTGTAAAAGGGCTATCGAATGCGCTTTTCCGCGGCGCTGTAGCTCTATCGGTTCCCGAGATAGCCGTTGGCAGTTTCCAAAATGTTGAAATAGTCAACATTTTACCTTTGGTGACCTCTGGTGACCTGACCTTTGACCTGACCCAAAAAATGACCGAAGTGTTTTCGTCCTTATTTTTGACGCTCTTTCGATTGCCGCTTACCGCGTGTCGCTACGTGGCCCAGGAGCCGAGTTAGACGGGGGGGCGTGAAAACGCCCCCCCCCCAGCACTCGGCGGAAAGTTCAGGCCACCAGCACGGCGCGGGTTAAGGTGGACAAGAGGGGACATTATCATGACCCCTGTTTTAGTATCATTGTTTGTTACATTACATTCACAATCATTGAGCATACCCACAGGCCACAGCTTCATTTTTATGAAAGGTCTTTGAGTAAGGTCTAAATGACAAATCTTAACCTAAGGTATCATTCAGACATAGAAGACATAGAGTAATGAAATGCTGGCTGACTCACCCATCCAACTAGCCATGCAAAAGGCACTTCTACCAAATGGCATTTCTACCAAATGGCAATGGAGGCCTGGCCCATCGGTAGTTATCAGGTGGTCATGCCCATGATTCCACTTGCACAGCAATAGGAGAGAGAGAGAGAGGTCTGAACTATGTTTAGGTAAGACATTGTGGCAGGAGAGTTTGAATTAAAATGTTATGCAAATACAAAAGTTTCATTAATTTATGAATATCTTTGGCTATAATCAATATTACAATTAGTTTTGTGCTGTATTCTTGATTCAAATAATTTTATGCAAGGTATTTTTTGTCGCTGCTCTTTTGTTACCTTGAGGTAAAGTTAACATTTTATCTAAATCGCAATAATCTTTCAGCTTCAATAATAAGAGATCACATGCTTGTTGGTACTGATTTGAAATTAATTGATATCATCTGATTTTTTTTAAAGCCAATTCAAAACTGAGGCATGCCAACCTCTACAAGGCTTGGGATCTCTGCCCTCTTTGAACTCTTTGAATGATACCTCTTTGAACACTGCTCTCTAAATTACCAAGAAAACTTCATCCATGTTTTTCTGTTGGGGGCCATTTGTTGCAATGGTTGTTTGTTCAGCATTGAAAAATGTTATTTGCATAACTGTTAGATGACAAGACAGACAGATGTAACTGACAAGACTGTTAGATGCAGACTGTTTTATATGGTACAACGTTTCTTTGAGCATGATTGTAATCAATAAAAATATTGATATTATATCAATATATAATAAAAATATTGATATTATGAGCATAAGGTCAATTTTACCATTTATATTGGTTAGATGCCTGGACCACTTATCTGCCTTTGGCTGTAATTTGGTTAGTTAGCAGCTACAGCTGTACAAGAATTAGCAAATGGAGACAGTGGAGGTGGTTGCCCATCCCCCGCGGCTGCGATAGCCTGAGTGCCCTGGTGTGCCGCGGGTCGCCGCGCCCTAGTCTGACGCCCCGGTGCCGCCGCAGCGCTGGGCCACGGCCAGGAGGTGGTGCACGTGCCCAGCACGCGATGGTGCCACTTCTACAACGAGACGGTGTGTCCGGACGGCGCCGACTCGTGCGACCGAAAGGACGACTGCCGCGACCCGCAGCAGCCGGGACGGCGCAACATGTGCTTCGTGCTGTGGCGCAACAGCAGCGCCGACGCCATCGAGGTGGTGCTGAAGGTGAGCGACGGCCGGCCGACCGGCCCGGGGCACGGAGGGTGCTCTGGCCCGGAGCACGGGAAGCACGGGAGGGTCTCTGGTCCGTAGCGGGAGGGTCTCTGACCCGGAGCACGGGAGGTTCTTTGGCCCGGAGCGGTGGGCTCTCTGGCCCGGAGCCCGGGAGGGTCTCTGGTCGGGAGCACGGGAGGTTCTCCGGCCCGGAGCGGCACGCTCCCCCGGAGCACGGGAGATTCTGGTCTGACACGTTCTGAGGTGTGAGGAGAAGTAGCTATTGTTTCATTGAATAAACGCAGAAAGAAATTAGTGACCAGCATCTTCCAATTATAGCCATCAATATTCAGTGGAAAATAATCAACTTGATTTGCTTATTGAGGGTCGTATTGTGGGTGCTGATCAATATCTGGGTGGGCTGTATGCGTTATATGTTCATTGTTCATAATGATTTGTAATTTGCAAGTTTCTAATTGTCGGCTTTCAGATTGTTAACCAGATTGCTTACTTTTGGAGGATGATGCATTGGAATGCATTAAATAATGACCTGTAACCACCAGGGGTGCATCATCGACATGACCGAGTGTGCGGCCGAGCGGTGGGGCTGACCGGTGTGCCCGCTGCCAGGGGTGCATCATTGACATGACCGAGTGCTACAACCAGTCCGAGTGCGTGGCCGTCAAGCCGGCCAACCGGGGCGCCTACTTCTGCTGCTGCGAGGGCGACAACTGCAACCGCGAGTTCAGCTGGAACGTGCGTCCCGTCACCACCACGCCCACGCCCGTCACAGAGCGTGAGTGCGCCGAGCTCCGAGCGCCGGCCAAAGGGTGGGCTGGTGACGGACTCCTCTGTATGTGTATAGGCCGGGCTATCGGTGAAACTGATACACATATGGAAATGCTGTTTGCTATTGAACATAAGACAATGCTTTTTTAAATATCTGATTACTCGTACACTTGTATCTGATGACCGGTGTATATCGGGTCGTAGCTCGCTGGCCCAGACTGAACTACATATCCGCGCCTCAGTGCAGGCACGAGCCCCCCTCTGACTCCCCTGCCCCCGTACAGGCACGAGCCGTCCCTCTGAGAAGACGCTGATAGCGCTGGTGACGCTGGCGCCCATCGTGCTAGTCACCGTCTGCGTGCTGGTCGGCTTCTTCGTGTACCGGCGCCGCAAGCCGAGCTACTTTAACGAGGTGAGGCGGACGGTCCGTCCGTCGGGCTCGTGGGCAGGGAGGGCAGGGCGGATACCGGGGGAAACCTGCTGCTTCTGTTGTGTAGTGGTACATGTGTTGCAGAAAGTGGCCATTTCGGGGCGTCCATTAGTGCTGTGTCGCTGCTGTCTGTTGCCGCACTCGGCAGTGACCCACTGACCGGCTCACCGTCTGCCGCAGATTCCGTCGCTGGACTCTGGTCTGGCGTGTCCGCCGTCGCCGCTGCCAGTGGCGCGGCCCGTCCAGCTGCTAGAGATCGTCACCCGCGGCCGCTTCGTGGCCATCTGGCGCGGCCGGCTGCGCGCCGAGCCGGTGGCCGTGAAAATATTCCCCGGCCACGAGCGGCGCAGCTGGCAGGCCGAGCGCGAGGTGCTCCAGCTGCCGCAGATGAACCACGAGAACCTGGTCCGGTGAGTCACTGCCGCTGACCGGCAACCAGAACTGGTCCGGTGGGTGCCGGGGGACCAGGACAACCAGCTGGTCCGGTGGGTACCGGGGGACCGGGACAACCTGGTGCCGTGGGTACCGGGGAACCAGGACAACCTGGTGCCGTGGGTGCCAGGGGACCGGGACAACCTGGTCCCGTGGAACCTCGTCATTTGGTTGCCTGTCGGTGTCCCAAGGTTTGTCAATCTGGGTGGGAAATGACATTCAAATAAGAACAATTTTCACTCGTACCTTAAGACGTTTTCAAGAGCAGCTTTCCACAATTCTATCAAGGAGGGCATCCACGTGTACGGTTACCTGCACACAGTCACTGCAGTACGCTGACGTGCGTGTTTGTGTCTGTGTGTGTTCTGGCAGGTTTATCGACGTGGAGAAGCACACAGACCTGGCCCAGGTGGAGTACTGGATCCTGTCCGAGTACTGCGAGCACGGCTCCCTCTGCGACTACCTCAAGGGCCACCTGGTCAGCTGGCCGGAGGCGCTGCGCATTGCCGAGGGCGTGGCGCGCGGCCTGGCGCACCTGCACGAGGAGGCGCCGCTGTCGCGCGCCGCTGGCGCCGCCAAGCCGGCCGTGGCGCACCGCGACTTCAAGAGCAAAAACGTGCTGCTGCGTGCCGACCTGACGCCGTGCGTGGCCGACTTCGGGCTGGCGCTCATCTTTTACCCGCACCGGCCCATCGGCGACGTCCACCCGCAGGTCGGTCCGGAGAGGGGAGTGTCTACTCACAGGTCGGTCTGGGAGGGGAGTGTCCACCCGCGTGTCGGTCCGGGGAGGGGAAGGGAGGGGAGTGTCCACCCGCAGGTTGGTCTGGGAGGGGAGTGTCCACTCACTGGTCGGTCCTGGTAGGGGAGGGGAGTGTCCTCCACCCGCAGGTCGGTCCGGGAGGGGGAGGGGTGTCAACCCGCAGGTCGGTCCGGGGAGGGGTTTCCACCCGCAGGTCGGTCCGAGAGGGGTGAGGAGTGTCCTCCACCCACAGACGGGAAGGGAGTGGAGTGTCCTCCCACAGGTCTGTCCGGGGAGGAGAGGGGAGTGTCCTCCATACACAGGTTGGTCCGGGAAGGGGAGGGGAGGGGAGTGTCCTCCTTCCACTGTTCGGTCCGGAGAGGAGTACTGCACCCCGTCTGGTGTAAGAGGTGGGAAGAAGATTAGCTGTGCTGGACGCGCTGCGGTCTTGACGAACTAATGGTGTCCTGGAATTTCATTAGTTTTCTATTTATGTATTGAAATGTCAGTTTTAACTGTCTATATCGAGCGCAGCTCCCCATCAGAGCAGACCGCTGATGCGTTTATGTGTTTAGAATAGTTTTCGTAGAATTATGTTCCCTGCTACCTTTCTTTTTACTGGCTGTGTGTGTTTGTATCTGTAAGTCCGCCTGTCTGCCTGTTCGTCTTCTATCTCTCTGTCACTGTGTCACTGTGTTACCAGAGTCACCGAATGTCTCTGTCGGTGGCGGCTCGGACCGGAGCCGGGCCGGGCGGGGATCTATGGGACGGGACGCGCTGGCCGTGTCAGGGGGCTCGGCACACACACCGCCGCCGCCGGCTGACCCGCCCCGTCCGCCCTCCCCGCAGGTGGGCACGCGCCGCTACATGGCGCCCGAAGTGCTGGAGGGCTCCATCTGCTTCCACCGGGACGCCTTCCTGCGTATCGACATGTACGCGCTGGGCCTGGTGCTGTGGGAGCTGGCGTCGCGCTGCTCGGCGGCGCCCGGGCCCGTGGCCGACTACCGGCTGCCGTTTGAGGAGGAGGTCGGCCCGCACCCCAGTCTGGACGACATGCAGCACCAGGTGGCCAGCCGGCGCGTCCGGCCGCGTCTGCAGCCCCACTGGCGCCTGCACCAGGTGAGGGAGCGGACCTACAGCCCCACTGGCGCCTGCACCAGGTGAGCGAGCGGTCTTGCAGCCACACTGGCGCCTACAGTCCCACTGGCGCCTGCACCAGGTGAGACGGACCCACAGCCCCACTGGCGCCTGCATCAGGTGAGCGAGCGGGCCAGCTGTAGCCCCACTGGCGCCTACAGTCCCACTGGCGCCTGCACCAGGTGAGGGAGCGGACCTACAGCCCCACTGGCGCCTGCACCAGGGAGCGCGTAGTCAGCCACACTGTCGCGGGGCGCCTGCAACAGGTGATTTAGTGTGCCTGCAGCCCACTGGAGCTCACAATGGGCGCCAGGTGAGCGCGCACAGTGGTGAGATCAGACGGTAGGACATAGCCAGGCATCAGACATGCTAAGTTATTTTATAGACTAGAGCTTAGCTTTGTTTTCTTCGTTTTATTGCTAGCTTGAGTTTTAGTTACTGAAGTATAAGTTTTAGTCGTACCTAAGCTATTGTATGTTGCTCAGCTGTGCTGGTTGCTGCGTCCGCAGTATACCTATGTTTCCACGCTCTGAACCGAGTGGACAGTGAACACAATGCCGGCGTTGCAGCGGCGCTGTTTGTAAACTGAGCCGGGCCGGCCTCGGGTCGGGTGCCGGCTGTGCCTGGCCGCCCTATTGTGGCGCCCCCACCAGCCCGGCCACCGGGCGGAAACGCGGCGCTGGACGGCGGCCGGGCGTCCCGACACACTGACTCAGAGAGAGCCGGGGTCCGACACACTGACCTAAAGAGAGCCGGGGTCCCCGGAGCAAAACCGCTGACCCTGGGCCGAGCTGCCGGTGGTCACTGGGGAGGCCAGGGCCACGGCAGAGACAACGCGAGGTGTTCTAGTTTTATCGTACGCTTGAGGACATGAGATTGAGTTGGGACAGATGTTGTGGTAAGGTAGGTGTGCTCTGGAAGTGCTATGTGACTGTGTGTCGGTTTCCACTGTAACCCCCCCCCCCGTCCCGCCGCCATGGTCTGGAGGTGCTCTGTGACAGTGTCCTGATTTTCGTGAATTTGGGTGAAAACCCACACCCTAATAGATTCCCTTTTTGACGTCCCGGCAAGCCAAACGTCGTCCCTGACAGATGAAAATCGCCAAATATATGGAATACTAAAAACAAACAAACAAAAATAAATGTAATCTCTGAAGCCCTGAAACCAGGAAAATGATAACCTTGTGGTGGGAAAAGATGTGGATTACAGATGGGAGGGTAACGGGGGAGAGAGCAGCGAGTGCTACTGCCTTTGAGTTTCAATGGTACAGACGGTTTATACTACATGTCATCCTGTTTTCTAGGGATATTCAGTGGCTTAGGTTTGGCGTCAATATCGACATCCTTTTGAAATAGTGACGTCTTCGTGGGTTTAGTCACACTCTCCGAAAAATCAATTTCAGGACACTGCTCTCTGAGTGTGTGTCTGTTACTCCTCCCCCCCCCCCCCCACCATGGTCTGGAGGTGCCCTGTGTGTGTGTATCTGTAACCCCCCCCCCCCCCGCCAGGGTCTGGAGGTGATCTGTGAGTGTCTGTAACTCCCCTGCCATGGTCTGGAGGTGCTCTGTGTGTGAATGTCTGTAACTCCCCCCCCCCCCCGCCGCCGCCAGGGTCTGGAGGTGCTCTGTGTGTGTCTGTAACTCCCCCCACCCCACCCCGCCGCCAGGGTCTTTAGGTGCTCTGTGAGTGTGTGTCTGTAACTCCCCCCCCCGCCGCCAGGGTCTGGATGTGCTCTGTGAGTGTGTGTCTGTAACCCCCCCCCCCCCCCCCGCCAGGGTCTGGAGGTGCTCTGTGAGTGTGTGTAACTCCCCCCCCCCCCGCCGCCAGGGTCTGGAGGTGCTCTGTGAGTGTGTGTCTGTAATTCCCCCCCCCCCCCGCCAGGGTCTGGAGGTGCTCTGTGAGTGTGTGTCTGTAACCCCCCCCCCCCCCCGCCAGGGTGTGGAGGTGCTCTGTGTGTGTCTGTAACTCCTCCCCCCCCCCCCGCCGCCAGGGTATGGAGGTGCTCTGTGAGTGTCTGTAACTCCCCCCCCCCCCCGCCGCCGCCAGGGTCTGGAGGTGCTCTGTGAGACGGCCGAGGACTGCTGGGACAATGACGCCGAGGCGCGCGTCTCGGCCAGCTGCGTGCTGGAGCGGATGGGCGCGCTGCGCCATCAGCAGGCGGCCGGCGCGCCGGCGCTCCGCTCGCCCTCGGTGCCGACCGTGGCGGCCGGCGCCGGCAGCCTGGCCGAGCCGCTGCTGCCGCCGCCGCCGGCCGGGCCGCCGCACCAGCTGTCCGAGCCGCTGCTGCCGCCCGCCGCCGCCCCCTCCGCATCCGGGCCGCTCTAGGTGAGCGCCGCCACGGGGTGGCCGCCATCCGGGTGGGAGTCGGGGCTTCGTCCTCTGCCTCGGTGCTCAGTCCACTGACTGCGGGCTGTGTGTTACAATTCTGTGTCTGAGCGGCGCTGGCGCCACGGCCAGGGTCGCCTCCTGCCCCGGCCGGTGGTGTCAGCAGCTCTGGCCGTCAGTGTCCGCCTGTGTGTACATACATATGTCTGCTGAACGCCCCCGGACGGAGCCGGGCGGCTGTGTGTGACCGTCCCTCCCCTCGGTCCCACAGAAGGCGGACGGCGAGCGCCGAGCCGCGTGGAGCCGGCGCAGAGGGAGACGGGCGGCCGGCGCCGCGTGTGCCACAGATCGCCGTACCTGCGCGCTGTACCTGTCCGTAGCGGCCGCGCCGCGCCGCCGCGCCGCGTGTCGCCGAGGACGGTGCCGCGCCGTACCTGTCCGCCCGCCGCCCGGGACGGTGCCGACGGACAGCCGCGCCGCACCGGGCGGGCGCCGCTCGGTCCGCGGCCCACAGCAGTCACTGAGAGAGAGTCAGCGAGTGAGTCAGTGAGTCAGTCAGGGAGCGAGTGAGAGCGGTGTGGTGCAGTGGTCGGGAGCGCACGCGCGCGCGCCTGAGTGCGATCTGGGTGTGGGGGTGAGCGGCGCCGTGCCGCGCGCGTCCGCTCCGCTGGGTGTCGACCGGCGGCGATAGTCGTGTTGGTGTTTTCTGGCGTTTATTTGACGCGCTGCTGCCGCTGCGCCGCTGCCGCCGCCTCCGTGTGCGAGGGAGGGGCCGTGTCCGACCGACCGACCGACTGACTGACGGGTATGCTGGGCCGCTCGGCCGGCCGTGAGTACCTCAGCGCGCGCGCGGCCGCCGGGGCGCGCAGCCTCAGTTGCTCAATACTGTCCGCTCCTGAGTGGCGGCCGCCGCGCCGCCGCCCGCTGGTCGCCGGGTAAGCCGCCGGTCCGGGCGCCGCGCCGCGCCGCCGGCGCCCGCCGGTATCGGTTTACTGTTGGTACAATCGTTATGTTCCTAGCCGGGTTCGGCGGCCGGCCCCTCTGCCGGCCGCTCCCCATATTCCACCCTCTGATGCCACCTGCCAGCCTAGTGGACGCGACGCCAGCGTTTAGTTCGTCTCATTCTGTCCCAGTCTGTTACCATGTAGTACAAATCGTATTGTACATATAGAGGTAGTGGCAGCGGGCGCGGACGGTTTTATTATATATATACGGCGCGTGCTGTACGGCGCGCCTGGCGTAGAAGCGGGGCGGCCGCGCCGGCCGGCCGGCGGCCACGGCTCCGAGCGCGAGCGGCCGCCGGCGCCGGCGCCGCCCCGGCCTAGGTATCCCGTCTCTGCTAACAAGGTGTAACCGTTTACCAGCTAATATCGTGCGGAATAAACACACAGCTGCTGGAGACCGCTCTGTCTGTCTGTCTGTCTGTCTGTCTGCCTGCCTGTCTGTCTGAAGGAGTGCAGCTTCCCGAATGGCACCGAGGGCAGAATTTTGGGGCCTGACAAGTAGCGCCCCTGGCGGCCACTACCAGCCGAGGGCGGTCGGGAGAGAGGAATCGATATCGCGATGCTGGCCTAGACGCAGCGTTACACTGCTAGTATCTTCCGCAGCGAGTCATCACGCGAGCCTTGGCGCCGTGTGTAGGCCGAGTACCGAGCGCTGGGGAGAGGCAGGTGCAGAGAGCGGCCAGAGACCGCGCTGTCGCTGAAAATACGTCCCCGACGCTCGACCGGTTTCAGTTACTTTCACCTAGTGTCTTGTTTCTAGCCCCGATACATATCGGGAGGCTGTCCTGGAGGCTGCGTCCAGGACAGTCGAAACTGGCCCTAGAAACCCGATGGTAGGGATCGTGTGACCGTTAGCCAGGCCTTTCGATCACTTTTAGTACGCTTGGCTCGTCCTGTCCAGTGCCCCAGTTCGTGTCTCGGTATCTCCCAACGAAACTAGCTGAAAACGGTGCACACTGCTCGGGGCGTCGATGCACACCGATCTGTATGTACCCCGCAGAGAGTTCAGTTTGCCGGACGCGGGCTCATGTAACGCAGTTTCGGGGCGTGGGGCAGTGGGCTGCATGTGCGGCGTGTATTAGTCTCCATGAGTACCATCGCCTGTCATTCTTTTACTGCATTGATCCCACAGAAATGTGGCTACTCCATTCGTAGTTCTAGGTGCCTTCATGCGAGTGAAAATGGGTCAGGCTAGTGGGGACGGATCATGTGTATTTTTCACGGACCTGGGACGCTCTCAGCAGCTGCGCTGGGGGACTGGTCGGCCTGCAGACCGGGCCGCCGTCGGCCGGCAGTTGCGGGGCTACGGCGTGCCGCCCGGGTAGCGGGAGAGCTCGCAGCGCAGGCCGTCATGGTCGATGCGTCGGACGCACGACTGGTCCAGGCAGCCGGTGGAGGTGGGCGCGCGCACCGAGCAACCGGCCGGCAGGCTGGCCAGCACGTCGGGCACCACGCGCACCTGGTGCACGCCGCGACCGGCGTAGCCGTCCAGCCGCCGCGGCACCATGCGCACCGGCCGGCCCGTGTACGCCCGGTTGGCGCACATCTTGGTGACCTCCAGTGTCCGCCGGTAGTCGGCCGCCGAGACCGGACAGTACTCGCACGCGTACAGAGTTCGCGACGGGTAAGCCGCGCACGGGTTCACAAAGCTCCTGTCGTAGTCCCAGAGTTTTTGTTTCGGTGGCAAGATGCCGCGCTCGGTGGCGAACTGCTGGGCGCAGACGTTGGCCCTGTGCTCCCTGTTCCACGGCGCCAGCAGAGCGCGAAAGGCCGGCTTGGTGCGCTCCATGGTTCCGTGCGCCACGTGCCGGTCGTAGGCCAGGTCGTAGGTGGTCACAAACGGGTTCACCCGCAGCGGGCTGATCTCCAGGATACTGCCACACACGCTGCTCTGACTCTGCTTCACGTCATACGATGGCTTGTCCCGTTTTCCTAGGAACGAATCGTACTCGGGCATACGGTAATGCTGTCTGTAGGTCGAGTCGTGCTTGAAGCATTCACGTTTGTATTTGCTTCGTTCTTCATACCAATTGCCGATGAGTGTTGCCTTGTCGAATCGTCGGTCGGTATTGTTAACTCGGGCGGTGATTTGCTGCTCGACAATGGCAGCGCTGCAGTCCAACACAGTCATCTTCGGAACAGGAAATTTTGAGCGCTTAGATTCTACCCTTATGCCATCAAGCCGAGCCTAAGTTTATACAAGAATAGATCCCGAAGTTAATTTTGAGAATGCATGTAGATGCAAACCAATGACCAAAAAACGTGTGGCGGCACCGGCGGCACTATGGGCTGCGGTCGGTTCGTTTGGAATTTTCTCCGCCGCACGTGATGTAGTTGCAGAAATCTTTGGCAGAGATCTAACCAGAGCTGAGCGGCGTCAGCCACCAAAACTCGAACTTTAGGCAATCGTACATCGCTTTAACAAACGGTTTACTGCTGCACGCATTTATAATACGCATCAGACCACTACGGGACTCTCAACTACTTAGTTAGGATGGCAACATAAGTAACGCGCTTAGTTTGGGTCGGTCATGACACGATCTTAAGTAACCACATAATTTTGCTTCATCTCAATATTTTGGCGGCGAATCTGGCCAAAATATGCCGGTCAAGAAGCAAAATATTAATACTACGCATCTTCGAACACCGTTCTATAGCGCTAAGCCTTTCTTTGTAATGAAGTAAGTAGTAACGAAGGGCATAGTGCTGTCAGCCTCTTCGTTTTCCTCGCTATTCTAAATTCGTTAATCTCAACTTGGGCACTTAACACTAATTTTCATCCGAAGCACATTTTGTTTATTACAAAATCCCAAATACATTCGTCAAGAACGGTCTGTTTAAATATTTACATGCCTACCAGTAGCAAAAGAGGATAAAAACTTCACGATCACATGCATACAGATTCCAGAAACCGAAGAGTTCATTTCAGATCTGACCTAGCTACAACGTCTACACCAATCGAACAGCGGCAAACATTTACATTAGCTGCGCCTAGGCGCCAACCCGAATACAAATGTGAGCGGCCTTCGCCTGGTAAAGAGGATGATAGAACAGTCTCTACGGAGCAACATCATATATATGTATAGATGTATATGGAATGACAAAAATAGTAAGCTGCGGTGCAGGTACTGATGAATCATGAGATTACAACGCTGCAGGCCGGCCAGCATCCTCCACAGAGCAGACTCAATAGAGAGATTCCATGATCCATGGCCGTGTTCGCACTGATCACACACGGCGCCAAACCATACACCAATAGGGAATCTGAATCAAACGGTGCAGACCAAGGAATGCAGCTCGACCCTCGTCCAAAAGACCAATAAATAGATGTGCATCTCACATGAAAAAATGCCTTACAAACCAAACGTCGCAAATAATTGCAAATGCTTAAAGTCACTTGTAAGTTGTAAGTACATTTGTCGCATTTGGCTGGAGCTCCGCACTGCGGCGTGCCATAGTGCGCCGCGCTGGCGCTAGATGTCTCTAGCGGCGCGGGCTGGGCCGGTGCCGCGGCACGGTCACTGTGCGCGCCCGGCTGCCGTCCGCCGGCAGCGGCCGGCAGAGCGGTCTGTCCGTCCGTCACCGTCACTGACACGGTCCCCCGGTCCCAGCGGCGGCTACACCCACGAGTCGCCGGCGGGCGCGCCGCCGCCGCCGCTGCCGCCGCCGGCCGGCTCGTCCCGGTAGCCCCACACCTCGCCCGGACCGGGCTGGTGCTCGTAGTCGGCCGCCGGCCCGGCCTGCTGGCGCGCCTTCTTGTCGCGGTTCACCTGGGCGTAGACGGGCTCTCCGGGCTGGCGGCCCCCCTGCCGGCGGACGGACGGGAACAGGTTAGGGGCGGCGCAGCACACAGTCGGGCAACACACGGAAACACCTCGTGCCGCCGCTGAGAGCGGAACAGACACCACTGTCAACACGGCACACAGTACACGTCTGCTCGCAGTAATTTGAAGCATGCTTCTCAGCTGTCAACGTTACTAATGCCTTCACCCATTACAACAAACTGAGCCAGTCCATTAACCGAATGGTACAGCCCCGTTGGTACGGCCAGGGCAGAGCTGAGGGGATATTCCCAGCTGAGGGGGACAGGCGCCAGACGACGGACGGGACGCGCCGGACCGTACCGCCCCGGACCCACGCGCCGGACGGGCCGGACCGCACCGGACGGGCGGGGGACCGCGCCGGACAGGCGGAGGACCGCACCGGACAGGCGGAGGCGCCACCACGAGGCCGTTCAGTGCCTACTCAAGCGCGCAGCCGTTATCTCATTTTTTACGGAAATATCTCATTGGCATGTCGGGAAAACAGTTGCGTAAAAAGAGCAAAAGCTTTTCAAATTTAAAAGCGTACTCATCTAAAAGTCAACAATTTTCGCATACGGCTCCAAAATCATACAGTGCACATCTCAAGTTTAAAACGCATATCACCCAATGTTGATCAGTGATCACAGCTCCTCCATTTAAGAGTTCTCAGAGGACCAGAAGTCGCCCGCGTCGAAGGAAGGGGCTGAGTTTGTTACATGGCCTCGACGGATCCACTGACGGTCACCTAGTCTAATCTAACTATACCAATCATGCATGCACCGCCACCCGAACCCAGTCACAGACACGAACTAAATCACAGAACGAATTCCACCAACAGAGACGGAAATTATATAAACAGGCAACAGCCGCCTGGAAAATACACGGAAAGCGGGCCCACCAGATAAAAATGCAAACAAATGCAAACAAAACCCGTGAAACGTGTTATCCGAAACAAATAAAACAAAAGCACGAGAATGCAGAGTCAAAATGATGACGATCATCCACTCACAAGCCAAATAAAGGAAATTTACTTTCAAGGCAAATTTGGAGAGACGAAAACTGCAAAACAGGCACAGAGAACCATCAGAACATAAAGAGGGCGTCGGGTGCTGAGTGTGGGGCCACCTACCGAGTCCGGCTTATTGAGCATCACGGTGCTGGCGTCAGTGCGGCGTGGGGAGCGGGGGGGGGGGGGGGCGTGTTAGTACAGTGCGGGCGCGGTGTTAGTACAGCGGGCCGGCCACGCGGAGTCTCCCACACACGGAGAGCGGCCGTCCGCCGCGCTGTATCGGTCCCCGTACTGACCCACTGACGCGCAGACGTTAGTGAGCGGCCCGGCGCAGCATTCACGACCGTGTTAATCGGTCAAACAAACCAGTGGTACCAACAGAAACGGGCAACATAACCAGCCATCAGCAGCGGTTAACAAGTCGTGTGGCCAAGAGAGAGGGGGCAGAAGAGGGTGCCAAAAGTGAACAGACAATAATGACCATTCCGACAAGGCAGAGAGAATCCTGTAAGCAAGGCCAGGAGCCCCGTTCCAGACCGCAGGTCGTGGCACAGTGAGTGCGGTACCGGCCAGTCTCCAGCGTCCGAAAATAGCGCAGCCAAAACGCCACCGCCTCCCCGGCCGCCCCAAGAGTCTCACGCGCCCCGAACAGGCAATGAATATCTGCATAGGCAACTAGGGCGCCGCGGCCGGCCGACGGGCGCCCAGTCAGACGCTGCAGAGGATTTACGGCCGACTTCACCGCATCGAACCTTGTTTATGCAGCCCAATGGGAGATATAACAAACTGAGAGGAGAGCCGCAGCTCCCCAGCGGGGAGCGGCGTTCGGCGCGGCGCGCCACGTACTGAAGCAGACACCGCACGCAAACGCCCAGCCCGTGGCACAGCAGCGCGTCACACCCGTCGGCGACACGGAGCCGCGTCCCTTCCACATAGCTGACACCGTGTAACCGAGCCCCAGACACACACCCCGAGCAGCTGCTACCTGGTCCCGAGACTCCACAGACCCCAGGCCCACACAGTTCCCCATAGACCCCAGAGAGACCCCACACAGTCACACAGACCCCACACCGCCCCACAGACCGACACGGGGCCCACTCGCCGGCCGGCGTCTGGTCAGCGGGCCCGCAGTCAGCAGCGGACACCGCCGCGAGAGCGGGGCGGCGGGCCCGCAGTCAGCAGCGGACACCGCCGCGAGAGCGGGGCGGCGGGCCGGCCGGGGACAACCTCAGCACCTGAACGGTGGCGGGCAGAGGGATGCCAGTTACAGGTGGGACGCAGCACTGTCAATCAATCAATCAATCATGTATTCTTATAACACTCCACGTGGTGGCTCTTCCGGTTACGCGTCACATTTTACAATGGTACTCACATTCATGCACATTCACATTCATAATAAAAGGTAGGTATAAAAATAAAAAGTAGAAATAGGTACAAATAAAATGAGAGACATCAGATATCGGCTGGCTGGTGGTGCGATCATTGCGCCCGCCGAGTACAAGTCCGCGAGCTCGCCGAGTCGCGCGATACCGACTTGCTGCTGTTCCATGCGGAAACAGCACGGAATGCAAAGCAGCGACGAGCAATCTCTGTACGGACCCTGGGCAGCTCCAAGAGTCTGTCGGCTGTGCCTCGAGTGACACGGCTTGACACGGTCTCACGGTAAGTCACACGCTCTCTCAGGCACACAGGCGAACGAGGCGAGCGCAGAATCATGTGCATCGCCGCCAAATCACGCTGATTTAACAGATCGTCAAATCGCTGCCAGCCCAGCTCCGTCAGGAGGGGGGTCACGTGATCATACCGGCGAGCACCCTTCACAATACGAACACAATGGTTTATTACCTTCTGGATGCGGTACCGCTGGGCCCTGCTGCAGCTCCCCCACACAGTCAAACAGTACATCAAATGAGGAAACACAAGTGCTTCAAGAAGTCTCTTTTTCACAGGCTCGGTCAGTCTTTGCGAAAATTTTGATAGACCACAGATGCATGCATAACAGCGCTTGATTACAGCTGACACGTGTGCCTCCCAGGTCAAGTTTTTGTCGACAACGACGCCTAATGTTTTGATAGACTGGGAGGGGTGAATAGTGGATGAGTCAAAGTCGATGGAAAACGTGCCTACCGAGCGCCGCTGGTGGGCATGCACCAGCATGAAATCTGTTTTGGTGGGATTGATTTTTAAACTGTTCTGCGTGAACCAGGCGTCAGCTATGCTTAAACTTTCCTCAATGCGCTCTTTCAACTTAGTAAAATCTTTTGGGTGACATGTGTGGATGAACTGCACATCGTCCGCGTACATTATGAGCCTACAACCAGTGATGTGAGATGAAAGGTCGTTTGTAAATAATAAAAATAAAATTGGTCCTAAAATTGATCCCTGGATCACACCATGACTCAGCGGCAAAACATCATGACCATCCCGCACACGCTGTCTGCGGCCACTCAGCCAGTCACAGAACCAGTGCTGCTCAACACCATACCACGCGAGTTTTTCCAGGAACCGGTCATGCTCGACGCTGTCAAAGGCTTTAGAGGTGTCAATCGCCGAAAGAGATGCAATTTGCCCTTTGTCCAAAGACTCAGTCAGATACATCACAGCATCGAGCATGGCCGTCTCCGTGGAGTGGCCGGGTCTAAATCCGTGCTGCTGCTCACACAGCACAGAGTTCACAGACAGGTACTCCATTAGCTGGTCACACACAACACGTTCAGCTAATTTTGCGACAGTCGGCAAGATAGAAATAGGTCTGTAATTGTTTGGATCAGTTTTACTACCGGACTTATGAAGCGGTAAGACAGTAGCTAATTTCCAGTCAGGCGGTACGATACCAGACACAATGGAGGCGTTGATCACATGCAGCAAGTGGAAGGGCTGCGGTTCACTGGTGGGACGCGGTGGGGAGGGCCGCTATTTACTGGCGGGAAGCAGTGGGAAAGGGCTGCTATTTACTGGTGGGACGCAGTGGAGAGAGGCTGCTATTTACTGGTCGGACGCGGGGCAGGAGTGCTATTTACTGGTGGAACTCAGTGCGAAGCGGCTGCCATTTACCGGTGGGACGCGGGCAGACGGGTGCCATTAACCGGTGGGACACGGCAGGGAGGGAGGGAGAGACAATAGACACTCTTCAGCGTCTGAAAACTTCAGTCAGCTGTCACCGGCCGACCAAACAGCCACCTGGAGAATCCCCCAGCACGGAACATTTGCCCCTTCGTCAGCAGCCTCTAATTCCACAGAGTCCACCCAGCCACCGAGCACCGGCCCAGGCACAGACCTACAACTGCCAGACCCTTCCCTCCCAGGCCAGTTACACCCTCCCGCCCAGACCATCTACACCCTCGGCAACCCTCCGGCTTTACCCGCTGCACCCCCGTCTGCTACGTACCGGCGGCGGGTACATGCGCACGCCGCCGGGCGGCGGCGGCCGCGGCTCGTAGCCGGGTAGCTCGCCGAGCGCGATGTGCTCGCCGTCGGGCGGCGGCGGCCGCGGCCGGCCGTAGGTGCCGTTGCCGCCGGCGGCCGAGGCGCCGCGCGGCATGGTGCGGTCCTCGTACTTTGTGCCGCCCTGGCTGGCCATGGGCCGGTTCAGCGTGCTGTTGGTATTGCTCGGAGAGTTGGGGTTCGTGTTCCTGCCGGCACGGTGAGCGGTCAGCGGCCAGTGACGGCGGTGAGGGGTGAGGGGTGAGGGGTGAGGGTGTGTGGGGTGTAAGTGGGGGGGGGGAGGGGCAAAGGCAGGCAGTGCAGTGTGTGCGTGGGAGGGGGTATGAGTGCTAGTGGCGGTGCGATGCAATAGGAAAAGCGACAAGCAATACTCGATTGCGCCTTGAGGCTGAAACAGACTCTTTCCGCATTCAGGAAATCGCATGCGAGCCTATTAAAATACATTATAATTCTTCCCGCATCAATCGCATGCCATTTCCTGACTGCGGAAAGAGTGTATTTCAGGCTTTAGCGAGACAACGAATGTCGAACAGCGACAAAGCGGGCCTCAATGACTAAGAACGAGACAAAGAGTGTTCCATAAACCTCATATCCAGATCGGACCGCCGCATCAACTTCCCGAGAAACGCTGGCCGGCTGAAGTTTTCAGAAAAGTGACAAAGCGTCTCAACTTGTTTCCCAATCTGGCCGTGTCCGTGTCTCCGCGAGTCGCGAACCAATCGAGCCCCGGTGACTGTGACACACACCCAGAGACCCACCCCAATACTGCACGCCCCCAGCATCCCCTACTAACACGGCTCCCAGGGCACCGCGGATCCATCAGACACCACACGATTCATTAGCCCGTATTAGCGCCCCGTTTAGCGACTCGTTCGAGTTTAATAACGGGAAGGTCGAGCAGCAGATGGCTGTGAGCCGCGCTCATTTGACCTCGGCCGTCGGCCGGCTGACCAGACAGAGCGGCTTGAGAACGCGGGCCAGCCGGTCACAGGCAGTGGCCACTGGCCAGCCGGGCGACCGCAGCCGTCCGAACCGGCCCCAAACTCCCACAGCGCGGCGCGGCGGAGCGTTGGACCGCACCCGCCGTCCCTGCGCTACCAAAATACAATACCGCGTGACGGCAACAACCAAGATTACTGAGTAGGGCAGCACTGGCCTTACCAGTCTTGAGAGCAAGCAGCTTACATAAATATTCTATTCTGTAACAAGACACCAAACAAGCTGCCTTACTCGCTCGCTCGCAATCACGAGCACCCCAGCAGCTGTGCTGCCCCCCCCCCCCCACTCCCGCCAGTCTCCCAGTTCTCTCTCCCTCCTCTCCGCCACTCTGCCGGGGGGCGCGCTCTCTCACCGGGCGGCCACGGATTTGGTGACGAAGTCGTTCTCCTTGTAGCCGGCCTTTCGGTAGACGTCGCGCAGCTCCTGGTGCAGCCACATCGAGTAGAGCAGCTGCGAGGCGAACTTGATGACGCGCGAGCTGTATCGGTGCCGGTGGCCCGTGATGACGTGCAGCCGCTTCACGCCGTCCAGCTCGAACAGAGACCTGGCGGCACAGGTCAGGTCAGGTCAGGTCAGAGGAGCCGTCCAGCTCGAACAGAGACCTGGCGGCACAGGTCAGGTCAGGTCAGGTCAGAGGAGCCGTCCAGCTCAAACAGAGACCTGGCGGCACAGGGCAGGTCAGGTCAGCCGGCAGGTCAGGTCAGAGGAGCCGTCCAGCTCGAACAGAGACCTGACGGCACAGGTCAGGTCAGGTCAGCAGGTCAGGTCAGAAGAGCCGTCCAGCTCAAACAGAGACCTGCCGGGGCGCGGACGGGGCAGGTCAGCCGGCAGGCTGGGGGAGTCATACAGCTTAAACAGAGACCTGGCCATCTAAAGTATTGGCCAAAGTTTTCAAAAACAAGTTACAAGCTGAACAGTCAACTAGTAGAATTAGTTAACGGCGGTCCCTGGGTTAAAGGGACAGTATCATCGAAAAAAAATCAATGTATGGAGCTGATTTTTTTTTACTAGCATTTCTTATTTTTCTGAATCAGAAAAACATAGTTTGAGGACCGAACTCGGTGAAAAATATTGCAACCACATTTCATTTTCATGATTCATTTTCATGAGCGAACCACCACTATACAAGCATGGCCGCCAGTTTGGAAGCATGCAAAATTACTACAGAACTGGCGCAGATAATACATTATTGACGCTACGCTTACGCGGTCGTTCTTCTGATTGAGTTGTCCTTAGGGAGAGGTAGCCTTAGGTATTGCCTATAAAAATATCACGTGACAATTGGAGGGAGTGACAATTGGACGTGACAATTGACAATGGGAGAAAATATCACGTTACAATCACGTGATAAACGTCATACATTGGAGGGAGATTGTGATTCAAGCTGGAGGAATTCCTTTGTTGAGCCGCTAGAATCCGAAGGAAACAGCGGAAATTGCCTACGACTATTTAATGAATTTAACGGTGATGAATAAGTGCGAAAAACGTTTTGGCTTTATAAAATTTGACGAAATGACCAGGGTAAAAGTTTTATTACTGGCGGTCAATTCAAAACGGCGCAAACATTTAAACAGTGAAGATAGTGAAGCACGATTCAAAGTGTAGTACACCTTTCGTACTTTGAGCGGCGATAGCGGGATAACGGTGTGGAGCTTCGAGGATCGGTCTTCAGTTCCCGGACCAGAAAGGTGGGGCCTATGCAATGTCAAATTTCATCAAAATGGTGATACTGTCCCTTTAACATCCTCTCAGTAAGCCTCGCGTGAAACGGCGACCGAGTCTGCCAGAAAATGAGCGGCGAAGACGGCACGCGAGTTCCGCGAGGACGTAGTGAATAGAGCAAAATCACCACGGCCTGTTTCCATCTGAGACCGCCCAGTGGCTGGCCAGGCAGGCCGGCCGGACGTGCATGCCAACACAGACAGCCCCCCGACTGCAGCCAAGTGCGCGTCTGAGTCTCGCCCGTGACGGCCGCGGCGGCTGCGGTATCATTGAGAGAGTCACAGGGGAAATTAGAGTATCGCGGGCCCATACGGGACCTCATGGACAACAGCACGACGCAGCTGGAGCCCGCAATGTCTTCAGCCTACTAGGGGCAGTTATGTACAAACAGAGAGAAAAGAAAGCATACACGATACATCACTTCTTTGACGATGGTCAGATACAATCGTTGGGGTGATTTGTTCAAGGTAGGGCCAAAATTTGTTCAGATACTGGCACGCTCTTCTTTAGAATCAAACTTTCTGTATGGCGTATCTCGTGTGGTATACTAAGCTCATAGCCCTTATAGAACAGACAGGGCACCTGGTCTCCCCGTAACGCGACAGACAGACACACACACGGCGGTACGGCTGGCCCGGCGGCGGCAGTCGTTTGGGGTTATGACGCCATCAAGTCATTAACTAAGCATGCCATCAGTCGGCCCTGAGCGCCTCCGGCGGCAGGCCAACTCATCAGTGTCCCAGGAGCGCGGGACGGGCGGCCTGAGTGGCCTGTTATAACCGAGCGCCGACACGGGCCGCGGCTGGCCCTAACGTGGCCGGCTGAACAGACCGACAGACAGTGACAGACCCGGGGCCGCGGCTGGCTGTAACACTGCCAGTCGAACAGAGCAACAGACAGTGACAGACCGGGCCGGCCGGGTGGGGGCGCCGACACCGCGGATACCCAGCCGCCTTTACAGGTTAAACCCGGGACGCCCAGCGAATATTTACTGCCGCTCCATCGACCAAATTGATCCTGAAGCACTTTCGAGCAGAATGCGCTGATGCAAGCATCTGTTCGATGCTGAGCGTTCTCTCAAATAGACCATTAAATCCATTTGCGACATTTCAATAGGACGTCGTGGAATCCCGAGAAGCGTCGCGACAAGTGATCCATTGACGTACGTCACATTTGACGTCCATTCAACACTTTGCTTCTCCAGTAGATTGCATCATCTCATCCCGCGCCACAAGCACGTCGCCACATATATCAGAGTACATTGGTTTGATCAGTCGTCCTGCTTTCATCAGACACGGTGTAACGGAGTGTACACACCTAGCTATATAAGATTGGTTTCGTTGGATACCACGGCCTTAATCAGCTTCCTGACAAGCATTAGCTTCCTCGGCTGTCGAAAGAGACCCTGTGATCAGATCCTACGGGCTGAGTGGCCCCAGTGCACTGCCGCCCCGAGTCAGCCGCTGCCGACCACGCTCACCATGTAAACCCGGTGCGGCAGTCTGCAATCTGTGTGATGTGTGCCCGGTCCGCCCGCTCACCTGGTGAACTCGGCGCTGTACTATCTAGGTACTCTGTACTACTTTATGTGCTCTGTGTACTGTCCGGACCACCCGCTCACCTGGTAAACACGGCGCTGCAGTCTACTCTGTGTGCACTGCCCGGTCCGACCGCTCACCTGGTGAACTCGGCGCTCTTTTTGATGACCTCGTTGAGCGTGGCGAGCACAGCGGCCACCGTGTCGTCCGAGGTGGCCTGGTCCTGCTGCGCGCTGCCAGACGGCAGCTTCTGCACCAGGTCGCGCATCGCGTACTTCCCTGTCAGAGGGGAGGGTGGGAGCGGTCAGTGTGTGACGCCACCGTTACTGAAACAAAGAGCAGTCACGGCCAATCCGTGACGTTCACAGGGACTCAACCGAGGCTACCGCAATATTCTGTGCCCGCCCCAGCTCTCCCCATCTCGAGACCAGGCATTGGTCAGATTTCTCATTTCAGCCACATATGAGCTTTCTGTTCCTTCCAGATCCCAACTATGAGCTCCCTGTCTCTCTGAGGTAAAAAAGTACCCACCTATGAGTTCCCCCTCCCCCAAGTGCCCACCAATGAGCTCCCTGTTACAAAGCACAGCTCACCAATGAGCTCCCTGTTACAAAGCACAGCTCACCGATGAGCTCCCTGTTACAAAGCACAGCTCACCGATGAGCTCCTTGCTACAAAGCACAGCTCACCAATCTGCCGTGAAAAGGAAAAGAAGCGTAACTCGCTTTTGACGATTTTTCAGGAGAGCGATTTTTCTGTTTTACCTTGTATTATCGTCGGTTCTAAAATAATCAAAGAAAACTTGGTGTCAAACTGTTCGCAATACTGCACTGAACCTAACAGTGTTAATATTTTTTACGTGACATATAAGATATTGCTAGAAAATGGTGTAAGGTGTTTTTGCTTTTCACTCGATGCTCTAATTGCAGCGAGGCATGTAGGGAAGAGAAGCGTAACTACATTCACTCCAGTCCGGCAACCGTATGTGCAGCGCGCGGCTCCATAGCGAAATGCAAAAAAGCGTAACTACGTAGTTACGCTTCTTTTGCTTGCGAGATCTTATGGTATCGGCGAATATGCGGTGTTTCAAATACGCCAGGACGAAAACGTCTTTTCTTCATTTCGGATGCCTAGATGCCTTTCAAAATAGCTCACGACTTTTCATGCTAAGACTTTATCTTCATGCTTAGCAATCGCGGCCGTCAGGTCGCCACCTTCGGTGCTGGCAGGTCAGACAGGCTGGACGGCCGTTCGGTCACCTATACCGGTGCTAGCAGGCCGGACGGCCGTGGTGTCGCCCCTGTCGGTGCTGGCAAGTAGGGCAGGTCGAGCGGCCGCCTCCTTCGGTGCTGGCAGGTCGGGCAAGCTGGGCGGCCATATGGTCAGCTCTGCCGGTGCTGGCGGGTCGTGCGGCCGTGGGGTCGCCTCCGCCGGTGTTGCAAGGCCAAGTGGCCGTGGGTCACCTCCTTCGGTGCTGGCAGGTCAGGCTTCCTTGGGGTTGCCCCTGTCGGTGCTGGGAGGTCGGGCAGGCCGGGCGGCCACGTTGTCGGCTGTCGCCCATGTTGGTGCTGGGAGGTCGGGAAGCCTGGCGGCCTTTGGGTCGCCTCTTCTGATGCTGGCAGGTCGGGAAAGCCGGGCGGCCACCTCTGCCGATGCTGGCGGGTCAGGCAGCCGTGGGGTCGTCTTTGCCGGTGCTGGCAGGCCGGGAGGGCGTGGGCTCAACTCTGCCGGTGCTGGCAGGTCGGGCGGCCGTGGGGTCGCCTCATTTCGTGCTGGCAGGCCGGGTGGCCACGTTTTCCCCTCTGTCAGTTCCGACAGTCCGAGCGGCCGCGGGGTTTCATCTGTCTGTGCTGGCAGGCCGGGCGGCCTTGGGGTCGCGCATGTCGGTGCTGGCAGGTCAGGAGGCCTTGGGGTCTCGCCCTGTCGGTGCTGGCAGGTCGGGCAAGCCGGGCGGCCGTATGGTCAGCTCTGCCGGTGCTGGCGGGTCGGGCGGCCGTCGGGTCGCCTCCACCGGTGCTGGCAGGCCGGGCGGCCACGTTGTCGCCTCTGCCGTTGCTGGCAGGCCTGGCGGCCTTGGGGTAGCCTCTGCCGTTGCTGGAAGGTCGGGCAAGCCGGGCGGCCGTGGGGTCACCTCTGTCGGTGCTGGCAGGTCGGGCAAGCTGGGCGGCCATATGGTCAGCTCTGCCGGTGCTGGCGGGTCGGGCGGCCGTGGGGTCACCTCCGCCGGTGCTGCAAGGCCAAGTGGCCGTGGGGTCGCCTCCTTGGGTGCTAGCAGGTCAGGCTTCCTTGGGGTTGCCCCTGTCGGTGCTGGGAGGTCGGGCAGGCCGGGCGGCCACGTTGTCGGCTGTCGCCCATGTTGGTGCTGGGAGGTCGGGAAGCCTGGCGGCCTTTGGGTCGCCTCTTCTGGTGCTGGCAGGTCGGGCAAGCCGGGCGGTCGTGGGGGTCACCTCTGCCGGTGCTGGCGGGTCGGGTGGCCGTGGGGTCGCTTTGTTTCGTGCTGGCAGGCCGGGCGGCCATGTTTTCGTCCCTGTCGGTTCTGACAGTCCGCGCAGTCGCGGGGTTTCATCTGTCTGTGCTGGCAGGCCGAACAGGCCGGACGGCCTTGGGGTAGCCTCTGCCGTTGCTGGAGGGCCGGGCAGCCGTGGGATCGCCTCTGACGGTGCTGGCAGGTCGGGCAGGCCGGGCGGCCACGTTGCCGCCTCTGCCGGTGCTGGCAGGCCGGGCAGCCGTGGGGTCGCCTCTGCCGGTGCTGGCAGGTCGGGCAGGCCGGGCGGCCACGTTGTCGCCTCTGCCGGTGCTGGCAGGTCGGGCAATTCGGGCGGCCGTGGGGTCGCCTCCTTGGGTGCTGCAAGGCCAAGTGGCCGTGGGGTCGCCTCCTTGGGTGCTGGCAGGTCAGGCTTCCTTGGGGTTGCCCCTGTCGGTGCTGGCAGGCCGGGCGGCCACGTTGTCGCCTCTGCCGTTGCTGGCAGGCCGGGCAGCCGTGGGGTCGCCTCTGCCGGTGCTGGCAGGTCGGGCAATTCGGGCGGCCGTGGGGTCGCCTCCTTGGGTGCTGCAAGGCCAAGTGGCCGTGGGGTCGCCTCCTTGGGTGCTGGCAGGTCAGGCTTCCTTGGGGTTGCCCCTGTCGGTGCTGGGAGGTCGGGCAGGCCGGGCGGCCACGTTGTCGGCTTTCGCCCATGTTGGTGCTGGGAGGTCGGGAAGCCTGGCGGCCTTTGGGTCGCCTCTTCTGGTGCTGGCAGGTCGGGCAAGCCGGGCGGCCGTGGGGTCACCTCTGCCGATGCTGGCGGGTCGGGCGGCCGTGGGGTCGTCTTTGCCGGTGCTGGCAGGCCGGGAGGGCGTGGGCTCAACTCTGCCGGTGCTGGCAGGTCGGGCAGCCGTGGGGTCGCCTCATTTCGTGCTGGTAGGCCGGGTGGCCACGTTTTCCCCTCTGTCAGTTCTGACAGTCCGAGCGGCCGCGGGGTTTCATCTGTCTGTGCTGGCAGGCCGGGCGGCCTTGGGGTCGCCCCTGTCGGTGCTGGCAGGTCAGGAGGCCTTGGGGTCTCGCCCTCTCGGTGCTGGCAGGTCGGGCAAGCCGGGCGGCCATGTTGTCGCCTCTGCCGTTGCTGGCAGGTCGGGCAAGCCGGGCGGCCGTGGGGTCACCTCTGTCGGTGCTGGCAGACCGGGCAAGCCGGGCGGCCATATGGTCAGCTCTGCCGGTGCTGGCTGGCCGGGCGGCCATGTGGGGTTGGGTCGCCTCTCTTAATGCTGGGATGTCGAAATGCAGGTGAGAAGATCCCGCCCCTGATCGTCCTATTTCACCAGAACTCGCTCGACTCTACTCTTGATTTCACATTTTCTTTAAGCTGCACTTGGACCTTTGTTCCGTTTTTTTTTTTTAATCGTTTCAGTTCTAAACCTCTTCAGAGACCAAGTCTGCTCCTAAACCGCAATTTGCACACGCTTCTGATAGAGTTCACAGCGAGCATGCACCACAATAAATAAAGTAAACTATTTGATATCGCTCGTGTGGCCTTGGTCCAGGGTATGGCATGGCACCCCATACCTATACCTACTATTTCAAGTTGGTGGTTTTGAACTTTGGTTGCTTTTATCTTACAGTTTTCCTCCATTCAAACGCCCGGATACCTACTAGAAGATATTGGTGAAACATAGAAAGGCGGCAAGCGCAAGCAAGAAGGGCTTAATATGTTTTTAATGCAAATTTTCCTGGCAAAATAAAGCTTCTACCAAGTGTTATGCACTCACCTGAAAGGCAAAAAAGCGCAAGTGCGTAAAAGTCAGCGCGGTGATAAGCAAGAAAAGCGCAACTACTTAGTTGCGCTTTTCTTGCCTATCACATCGTCCTGACCGCTGCAGATACGCTTTTTTAATAGCTGCGTTTGTAGTTAGGCTTTTTTTGCTTGCGGTCAGGGAGGATGAAAAACATTTACGCTTTTCTCTAAAAAGAAAATTTGATATAACTCGAAAAATTATACGAATTTCGAAAAACGGTTTTGCAGAAAGATGGAGATTGCTATTCTCTATCTAATGGTATCAAAATCTCAAAATCGAAAAAATGCTAGTTACGCTTTTCTTGGTTGTCACGGCAGCAATGAGCTCCCTGTTACAAAGCACAGCTCACCAATGAGCTCCCTGTTACAAAGCACAGCTCACCGATGAGCTCCCTGTTACAAAGCACAGCTCACCAATGAGCTCCCTGTTACAAAGCACAGCTCACCAATGAGCTCCCTGTTACAAAGCACAGCTCACCAATGAGCTCCCTGTTACAAAGCACAGCTCGCCAATGAGCTCCCTGTTACAAAGCACAGCTCACCGATGAGCTCCCTGTTACAAAGCCCAGCTCACCGATGAGCTCCTTGTTGCGCTGGTCGATGGCCAGGTTGCGCAGCGCGGTGGCCACTGCGCACACCACCCGGTCGGCCTCCATGCGCAGCAGCTCCACCAGGATGGGCAGGCCCTTCTCCTTGCGCACCGCGGCGCGCATGTCGACACTGGGCTGCCAGTAGCAGGCAGCCAGGTTCTGGATGGCGCCCGCCGCCGCCTCCAGCGTCTCCGGGTTCGAGCAGTCCGACAGCAGGCTCAGGTACGGCTGGACGATCTGGGAGGATAGTACAGCACAGTCAGCAGACATACAGACACAGCACTCCGAGAGCAGGCTCAGGTACGGCTGGACAATCTGTGCGGCGGGACACTACAGTTAAAGACATACAGACACAGCAGTCAGTCAGCAGACTCAGGTACGGCTGGACGATCTGAGAGAGGGCGGGACAGCACAGTCAGCAGACATACAAAGGTAACAAGACATCTAACGCAGACTATATAATGGTAAGGAGAAGGACCAGAAGAAGATAACGAAATCGCGTGGGTCTGGCTGATGTGGCGGACAGAAAAGATCAAAAGTCAGGTAGACGACAGAGACTGTGAACAGGCAGTGAACATAGTGCGAAGGTGCAGCCCGCGGCCGCAGATAGACTTATATCTCATAGACACCTTTCATAAGATCTATATCGTGCAGCCCTATCTATCACACGAGACGACACAAGACGCAGCAGCAGCTACAGCGACCCGGATGCCGCACAATATACGAGGCACCAACATCACATACCTGGATTTAACAGCGTCATTAACCTCCCCCTGTATCAGCTGCCGGCCCATGTCCCCCCTGCCCTGTCCCGGACAGTCCCTGCTTGTACTCACGTCCGGCTGCCAGAGGAGCTCCATGCCTTTGAGCGGCAGGTGCCGGCGGCTGGCGCCGCCCGGCCCGGCCGGTGTGCCGCCGCCGGGCAGCAGGCCGTCCGCCGCGCCGCCCGCACCGTCCCGGCGCTTCTTGCCGCCGAAACAGCCGGCGTTCTCACCCGCTGTCGGCCAGACGGGGACGCCAGACGGTCAGAAACGAGCCGGGGGTGAAATTATACACAGCTACCTTAACCACACGGCGAACAGACTGGCTACGGCTAGCACAGAAAGTGAGCGGCACCATGTGATTCACGTAAATAAAGGAACGGACAAACTAGCTCGAAATATACCATCACCAAACTCCCCCCCCCCCCATGACCCCACCGACCACCAGTAACCGCTGCTGCCTCCGTGGTCCTCCCGTTGGTCAGTTCGTGCCCGCGACTCGCTCCATCGCTGTCCAATTACGGCGTCGGCCCGGTCGGCGGCCGACAATGTTAGTGTCAGCGCGGCATTAGGGGCCGTCACCGGGAGCTATACTGGGCGGCCGGGCCGGCGACACGCGAGCCGGCGCTATACCGGGGGAGACGAGAGGGAGCCGCCGGCCAGGGAGGCTACCACAGCAAGGGACTGAGAGTCTGTAATTGTCCCCGAACTGCGCACACCGTACCGTTGCTGCAACTGAACTGCGCCACACCGAAGACTTATTTCTTGCGTCGTCTGGCTGAGGTGATATGTCAGATTTCAACAGAAGTCATTAGGCGACAAAGGGTGTTCAATTTGACGCTGGTACGTTCAAAACTTCTCCATCCCTTCTCATTACATCGTCTCTTGTCAAACATCTTGTGGGAAATAAGCAAACAGAGCAGTATGTCGCCGCTCACCACGCAATACCACCGCTCACCCTCGGCCCCGAGTCGGCACAGAACACTCCGCCGCCGGCGGTCGGCCCGCCCGGCGCGGCGGCAGCAGTGGGTGGGAGGGAGACTACGGCGGACGCCTCGCTCCCACTGCAGGAATGTGTGTGAGTGGGGGGGGGGCGTATGGCAGCCGCCTGTCCCCCGCAGGAGTGGGTGTGTGTATATGTGAGGGGTGTGTGGGTGGGTGCCGGTGGGCGTGGGCCGTGGAGGACCATATGGCAGCCACCCGGCCCCCGCACGTCGCTGCTTGGCATGCATTGTGGTGCTCACTCGACGTCAGAGCAGACGGAGCTCCCGCACATGACAGCGGCCGGGCCACAGCGGGGAAGGGGAGCCGGTAGCTGCCCTCCCCGCCGCCGGGAAGGCCGGACAACAGGCCGCCATCAGTGGGCTCAGCCGCCCGGCGGTCCGACGGCCCGGTGACGGCTCCCCGGCCCGTCTCTGGGGCCGCCACCTGTGTCCGACTGGAGCCGGCAGTACGCGCTCACCCAGTCTCCGCTACTGAGGCGGCCCGCCCCCGGAGTGGGAGGCTGCCCCGACCCAGCGGCGATGCACGAGCAGACCGGCATGGCACCCATCCCAGTCCGTACCGTACTGAGCTGCATCACCATACATTACTCATTCCATTACTGTCAACACAGCCTCAACCTGGGCATGCGAGTACATCGATTACTGCTTAAATCGACCCACCCAAACCCGGTCGACTGGCCAAATAACCAAGCTTATTTGATGTAACTCACCGCCAGCCGGGACATCTGAAAAATAAATCAGCGCAGCCGACACAGCGGACCGAAAATAGCCACTCTCGCCCGCCGCTCCCCTCCCCGTCGGTCACTCACGGTCTCTGGCGCCGGCGGCCCTCCCCATCCCCCTCTCACTGGTCGCCGGCCCTCCCCTCCAGCTCTCCCCTCAGCCACTCACGGTCTCTGGCGCCGGCGGCGGCGGTGGGCCGGCCGGCCGGCGGCGCCGCCTGCTTGTCGTAGTTGGGGTCCTCCACCTCCTGGCAGCGGTAGCTCAGGTTGCGCAGGATGCACACGCAGTTCTCGACACACTTGTTGTCGATGTTGGACTTGCCGATGGCCGAGCGTATGACCATGAGCAGCGCGTCCACCAGACCCTCGCACTCGCGCAGCTTTTTCCGCGCGTACTCGCCGGCAGAGCTCACGTTCCTGGCGACGGCACAGACCAGACACGCTGGGGTTAGAGAGTAAAACACATCTGCAGTACTGCAGGCTTATATACTAATAGACACGCCTGTTGTCGTCAGTACAACATACAATCGAGCCTTAAAAATGATCCGAGCCGCCGGTCCGTAACTGAGCCCGCCACTGAGCCCCCGGCCCGTCCTGAACCGCCGGCTCGCCAATGAGCCGAGCCGCCGAATTGTTCCGACCTACCGGTCAGCCCCTGAGCCGTACCTGAACCTCTGACCCACCCTGAGCTGAGCCCTTCTCCCCCCACCACCGCGCCGGCCGGTACCTGAGCACGCTGGCCCGCCACTGAGCCCGTCTCCCCGCCCCCCCCCCCCCGGGCCGGTCCGCACCTGAGCACGCCGGTGGCGTTTCGGAAGACGGTCGACCAGAAGACGTCCATGACGGGCTCGCTGTGCGCGCTGCCGCGGTTCCAGCCCGAGTGCGGGATGATCACATAGTTGACCAGCACTGTCAGACCGTCGTCGATGATGGTCCGCTTCAGGTCCTGTCGGAGAGTGCAGCCAGGGTCAGGGCGGCCCGCAGGCAGCGCAGCCAGGGTCGGGTCAGACCGGGTCGGGTCAGATCGGGTCAGGGCGGCCAGGGTGACCCGAGTCAGTGGTTCGTGCCAGGTAGCAAATGCCGAGCTCGTGCCAAATACCGCCTCAGCCGCAGCGTGTCCCGTGCACACCGCCAGAGCTCACGTGAGGTGTTCCGCTCCATTAACAAACAGGTGCATGTCTAGCACGTGGTGCAGTCAAACAGCGCTCAACTCGACACCGCCAGAGCGGGCCCAGTGCCGTTTATAAAGGAGGGCCCGGCAGGCCCGCGGCCGGAGTGGTCGTTCACTGGCACTCACAGACGGTATTGAGAGACTGTTGGTGACTGGAAACACCCCAGCCCACACTAACATCGGAGAGCGTACAAACCAGTGCGCTGCGCTCCCGACCCACACCCCCTGTAGCACTACAGCACACTGATACCACTTCACCACCCGGACTATCAACTGCCCGAACTGCGCGGGTGCCTGGAGTGGCGTCCGACATAGACGACACGAAATTCGCCCTGGCCATCAACACAGGTCGGTTGGTCACGGCGGGAAGCGCCTCAAATACCACTACACAGCGACCACCTGATCGGCATGTCACGGCGGAAAAGCCGCTGTGTCACAGTCACTAGGTGTGCTGTGACTCAGGATGGATGGCCGAACTAACGAAGGCAATGAGCATGCTATGAAGATCGCCACAGAAGGGAACGGAATCTGGCCTTTTTCAAGAAGACAATAAGGTAATATTATCTGGGCAATGGAATATTATTATTGTCAAGTCAAATTTATCAAACATAAACCAATTTTATGTTTAGGAGCGTATGGAGTAAGCAGCTGTGCTGCCACGTAGGTGTTCGCCACCTCTCTGCCGTCTTCACACCGCTTCACAGGACGTCGAGATCACGTCCTGCGCGACACGCCTCGCTAAGGTCGGCCACTGAGCTCAGACACCCACACATTCAAGTACTTCGGCCCAATAAAGAAAACATATGACCGAGCTCAAAGGGACTGGTCTGCGCTACAAATACATTACTAGCCGTTGTGAGCACCAAGCATCCATCTCATCGAAATGTCACAGTTCCCACCTCCTCGGCCGTCACCCAACTGGTATTACTGGAGTAGGATACACCTAGTTATCCTGTGGAACGCTCGGAATGATACGGGACCTCGCCGGCGTGGGGCGGTGTGAGCACACGCTCCGCCCCCGCACCTGCCGCGGCTGTATGGACGCGGAGCGAAGGACCTACTCCTCCAACCGTACCCGATAACACAACCACCCGGTGATCGTTCAGAGTTCCGTGAGCGGACCCCAGTGAGCAGCCACACCGTCATCTGAAGCTGGAGACGGCACACCCGCCGGTAACCCGGGACAGGCGGCGGGCGCAACTGTGGTCCGCTGAGCGAGCTGCGAGCCGGGCCGGCCGGTCGGCGGCCGAGCGGTGTCCGCACCCACCCGGTCACCGGCCGCCGCGCACGGTCCGGCCGCCGGACCGCGCCGCCGCAGCTGCCGCCTCCCACGACCGGCTCTAATCGCCGTTCGGCAATTTAAAGATGAGCGCGCTGCTCCATCCGGAGCAGGGCGGCCGGTAATTTATGGATGAGTGCTAAGCGGCCATTTTGTGCCGGGCCGGCCGGCCGGCCGGGACGGGACGGTCGGCCGCCCATAACCGGCCGAGTGGCGTTATACATTCTGTCGGCGCCGCCCGGGGGAAAAGTCGGCCGGCTTGCTATTCCTGCAGCGGTCATACAGCCGCCGCTATCCGGCCATACGGGACGTCAGACCAGCTGCACTCGCGCCGGCCGGGGAATAGGCAGGCCCCAAACGGTCCTTCATGACAACTACACATAACCAGCATTAAAATCAAGGGCAGGGGATACTGCGGGCCCGCACTCCTCTCCGGTACAAATCGGTCAGTGTACCAGGAATTTATTTTTGCGCTAGCTAGAATACTTCAATACAATATTCATGTCTTTTTTTAATGGCCACATTTGAGCACTAATAAAAGACCTGGCAAGCGCATCCCATATGAACCCGGACCCCGGTGGCACGGATGCCGGAGACTATCCGAGCCTTTCCCCGTAGCGTCCCGAAGACTCGGTTAATTAGCGCGGCAGCAGCAGCCCCGGGTGAAGCCCCGTGCGGCGCAGCGCCGGCGGCTGCCCTGCACTCCCATAGACCAGACACCCGATTTGGACGCGCGGGAATCAAATAACAGGCCAGGAGGCTTAACTGATACACAAAAGTTGTTACTTCACGGATTGAATAATTTAGCGTTTACTTTTAGAACCCGCCCAAAATACATAGGTCTCAAATGAATAAACCCAAACCAAGCCTTCCAGCGCGCCCCTGTCCCGCGTCTGGATAGGATCCTCAGGATAGTTACCTGGCAGCTGGATAAGGATAGTTACCCCGCGGCTGGACAGGTTCCTCAGGACGCTCACCTCGCAACTGGATAGGTTCCAGAGGATGCCCGTGACCAGCTCCTTGATCTCGTTCTCTGGCGTTTTCCGCAGCAGCCGGATCAGCGCCGGTACACCGCCCGCGTTCTTGATGGCCCGCTTGTTCTCGTCGTTTTGCCGGCCGTACGACAGATTCCTGACAGGGCGACGGGCACGGGGGGATATTATACAGAGCAGCACACGACAGATTCCTGACAGGGCGACGGGCACAGGGGGGATACTATACAGATCAGCACACGGCAGATTCCTGCCTGACAGGGCGACGGGCACAGGTGGGAATATTGTACAGGGCAGAACAGCGAGAAATACAGGCTCCGACTCTCCTTCGATTGACTGACTCTGTCCATAACAAACTGCATCAAGCAACATACACCAGGGATATTCGATAGTGGTCAGCAATGCGCATTCTCCACACCTTGCCCAATAACTCTCCTTCTACACTCTCCTACCTGCCTCCCTTCCCTACTGGCTACCACTCACCCCAGCTTCACAGGTGATCCCTGTGTCTGTATTCCTCCCTCCACCCCACTGACCTGAGCGCCCCGCAGGGTATGTCCCCCCCCCCCCCCACACACACACACTGACCTGAGCGCGCCGCAGGGATGTCCTCCACCCCCCCCCCCCCTCTGACCTGAGCGCCCCGCAGGGATGTCCTCTCCCCCACTGACCTGAGCGCGCCGCAGGGATGACCTTCCCCCATTGACCTGAGCGTCCCGCAGGGATGCCCTCTCCCCACTGACCTGAGCGCCCCGCAGGGATTCCCCCCTCCCCCACTGACCTGAGCACGCCACAGGGATGCCCTCCCCACTGACCTGAGCGCGCCGCAGGCGTTGCGGTGCACCTCGGGGATATCCTGCGAGAGCAACACCACCAGCGGCGGGATGCCGCCCAGCGCGCGCGTCTTCTGCTTCATTGGGTCGTCCATGTAGCAGAGGTGCTGCAGGTAGGCGGCCGCGTTGGCCTTCACCACGTTGTTGGGGTTACTGAGGAAGTTGATGACCTCGTGCAGGTCCGGGTCGCGGAACCGCACTGGGGGTGCCGCGGGGGGGGGGGGGTGTCAGCGCCAGCCGAGCCGCGGTCCGAGTGGCGCGGAGTGTTCCAGTCCGGCGCTCGGTACAGAGTGGCAGATCAGAGCCGCGCGTACACACCGTGCTCAGACAGAATCAGCATTCTTCCCTGCCCAAAACTGCGTGCTACACAACAGGGCAACCCTTTGACTGCAACCTTCTACAACGGCAACATTTACAGGCACGCAATCAACATTGGCGATGCCACGCATGAACTGACTGTGACATGAACCGGACCTTCACCGGGCTGGCCATACAGACCACACCAGGGTCACTGATCTAAAAGTCACATACACTGACTGTACGAAACACGAGCAGACCAAAAGGGACGGCAGAGGCCGCCTGCCAGTGCGGCGCCCTGGGTTACGCCCGTCACTCCAGCAGGGCAGGCGGGTCACAGTCAGACAGGTCACCAGGGAGGCTCGCGGCAGGGCGGGACGGTGCTCGCATCCAGCAGCATGCGCCAGTGAGTCGCCTGGCGTCAGTAGCCAAGTTGTCAGCGTGCTTCCCCGCTTACCTTTCTCTCGAAAACGTCACTGGAAACGCGTTACTGATAAACCCGAGACGACTCGCTCTCATCTCCTCTTCTAGTGCCTTCCACCTCCTCCCTTGTCATATGCAAACTTCTGTCGCAATTACAGACTACATCCCCGCCCACCCAGCCCGCCGGCCGACACCTCTGCCAGTCTCAGCCCCAGTCCCTCCCTGGCGACACTGACTCACCGTTCTGCTGGCTGAGCGCCGAGCCCGGCCGGGCGTGCTGCTCGCCCTCGCGCACCACGTCACGGATCACCTCGTCAAAGACGGCGCGCGGCGCGGCGCTGCGGCCCGACTGGCGCGACTGTCGCGACAGCGGCCGGCCCGGCTCCGAGTCGACGCTCTGCGACAGCTCTGCAGGCGGCCGGGCAGCCGGTCAGCCGGCTCCAGCCAGAGGCCATGCGGCGGCGGCGGCGGCGGCGGACCACGGCCACGGGCGGGCACTCACAGACCGACGGAGACCCGGCGCAGCGCGGGCAGCCAGCGGGCAACCAACGGCAGGAAGGGTTTGGAAACACCTTCTGCATGCAAACTCAAAAGTGCGTTGTGATGATTGAAAGCAGCTCCTTTATCAATTCAGTTTGATGCTGTCGGAGTCTGTGCGCAGCGGCGGCGCCCAGCGGTCAGCCGCGGAGTGAGCCCGCCCGCGTGCCGTGCCGTGCCGTGCCGTGCCCCGCCGCCGCCGCCAGTGACCGCAGGACGAGCCATGCCGCCGGGAAGGGAGGGGTGCGACAAACCAGGCAGACAACAACGAAACCGCTACCACAATCAACTTAATGAGAACAGGCAAAACATAGAATACGGGGTTACGACGACCAAATAAAAAATAAATGCAAATAATATCTGCCATATATGCCAAACAATATCCGCTAACAGCCATCAGCAAACTTTCAACTACACATAAAAAAGGAAAACGCCTTCCAATATGCTGATTGCTGACTATGTAAACGAAAATACAAAAAGAAATATTTGCTGTTGCGAGCAGTGCGGCAGCCAGCACGGCGGAGGGCAGGGAACGATCCCATGACGCCACTATGACGTCACTCTGGGCGCGCGCCGACCTACCGTGGCCGGGCGGCAGCAGCGGCGGCCCGTACGGGTCCTGGCCGCGGGACGCCATCAGGGTAGAGTCCAGCTCGTCGTAGCCCGACTGCGGGTAGTGGCCGGCCGGGTACCCTGTGTGAGGAGAGCGGGCAGCGGTCAGACACTGTGTGGAGCGGCTGACGGGACAGAGGCCGGCACGGGGCAGTGGCCGGCCGGGTATCCTGAGGGGGGAGAGGGCAGCCGTCAGACGCTGTGTGGAGCGGCTGACGGGACAGAGGCCGGCACGGGGCAGTGGCCGGCCGGGTATCCTGAGGGGGGAGAGGGCAGCCGTCAGACGCTGTGTGGAGCGGCTGACGGGACAGAGGCCGGCACGGGGCAGTGGCCGGCCGGGTATCCTGAGGGGGGAGAGGGCAGCCGTCAGACGCTGTGTGGAGCGGCTGACGGAGCAGACTAGGCCGGCACAGGGCAGTGGCCGGCCGGGTACCCTGTGTGAGGAGAGCGGGCAGCCGTCAGACACTGTATGGGCGGCGGACGGGGCAGGGGCCGGGTACCCCGACGGGGGAGGGGAGCCGTCAGACACTGTGTGGACGGCTGACGGGGCAGACTAGGCCGGGTACCTTGAGGGGGGGGGG